ATTAAATATAATTTAATTTAACACAATATAATATAACTTAGCTTAAAGCCTGAAATAATACAACATAGAATATAATACAATATAATATGATACAGAGGAGAAATATACCTGTATGGAAAGCAGGGCCCTGAGCTGCGGGAGCGTGGCCAAGGATCCAAATTCTGACGACTGTCTTCAGTGTGGCGAGGAACAACAGGTTGGCACCTTGATCATGGCTGGTATGGGTATGATGGGTACCTTTGGAGCTTTCTTCTTATCACTGCTATATTTGCTCCTTGGTTGAGCAATTTTGAAGCCCATCTACCTGGTCCGTTTTCATTTATACAATTTTCTATCATTTGCATTTGACCAGCTGCTATCATTTGCTGCTTTACAGGTCAAACATTTGGGCAAAATTGACTTGAACCATCCAGAACCCCAAATGAATCTGCATTTTTTTTTGTGTGCCCCTGAGATACCGAGGAAGATGCTTTCAGATCCCATCTTCAAAGGCCAGATCAAACTCTACGTGGCGCGCAACTTGGCTTTATGCATTCTATATATGGGATGCCATATTTATTTTCACAATATAACGGATTCCACAGTAGCAAGATGAAGCGGAGAGGTTGATGGAGAGACTTCGAGGGACATTTCGGTCCGTTTATTTGGTGATATTTGGGGAGACCATCCATGTTCTCCATAAAGACCTGCCCCGGATCCTGCAACAGAGTGCGTCAATTGAAGCAGCTGTGTATCGATCGTTTTTGGCAGGAAGAATTGTGGACCGAATCAAAGCACTGGCAGGCGTTGGTGGAGGAGGATCATTCCAAATTGAGCAGTTGGATTTCCATCGATTTCCACAATTGCATGCGAAACTCCTTGCCAATTCCTAGGGGCCATGACTTTACTTTACTAGTGCCATAACCTCAGCGAGGAGCACAGCAAAAAAATCCTCTGGTAAAGCTGGCGGACAAACTTCGATTCAAGCGGGTGACTCTAGTCATTCGAAAGCGGGATGTTTCCGGTGCCTGAGCTCCTTTAGCTGAGTGGTTACGGCCTCGCTGGTCCCCAAAGTCACACCCCAAGTCCCCGAAAAGTAAACCCTAAATGGTTGAATCAGTTGAATCATTGATAAGTAACATGGTCCTGAAGTGGTGATGTCAATCTGGGCGCAAGTGAATTATTTTTTTGGGCGCAAGTGAAGTTTTTCCCTAGCTGAGTGGCCATGGCAGTGCTTGTTGAAAATTCTTCAGTGGCCATGGCCATGGCAGATTGGAATTCCTGGCAATCGAACCCGTTCTAAAAACATTTATCATCCGTGAATATCCGTGACATTCTGAAGATGTTCCAATTTGCTCCTGAGCAGAAACTTCCTGCAACGAAGGCTATTGGCACTACTTCAAGAACCGGGACCTGGGCTTCGTCTTCCGGGTGGATCGAGATCACGCGGTGCATGTTGCTGGTGTGCGGCCTGGGTCACCTGCTTCCCGGATGGGGATTTCTCATTCCTGGCGTCTGCTAGTTGCTCAGCAGAACGGCTCAGATGTTGAAGCTGGGAACTGCTGTAGAGGATAATCCCTAGAAACTCCTGAAGTTCGGATACCATCATGGCAGATAGCAATGGAAACTTGCAATCATTGACGCAACGTGATGCAACGGATTCCCCGCTCGCTTGTGCAGGTTATCAATGGGAAGCACGTCAAAGCTGACACTGCCGCTTCCCTTGACGTTGTGGTTTGGACCACATTTTCTGACATGTCCTGCTACATTTTTGCCTAGGCACACAACCTTACCCATTAATATCCATGAACATAATTTTTACATATTTTTACTTTGTTTATTCAGCTTTCAGATGCTTTCTCTTTATCGCTGTGTCATTGAGCTTTGGCCGAGGAGCAGGTCGCTGGGCCAAATTTATTACTGTGTTCAGAACATTGCGCAGCCATGTGAAGTGTGTGTGAAGAGTGAATAAGACAATTAAGAGTGAAAGTCTTTTGGAGACTATGAGACTTGAGGCATCTAAATCTAAAACATCTTAAAGCCATGAGGCATCCCCACAGCCTGCGTCTCCATCCAGCGTGGCCCAACATCCGTACTGACAGCAATCTTTGTCTAAGGACGTCCAGGACCAGTTGGCCAACACGAAACTTCCGCTGCTTGGCAGTTACTGCTAAGTTTGGTACCCATGAAGTCGGTGCATTTCGGTCCATTTTCGGTCCATTTTCGGTCCATTACTTTGCTCCGATCCTGAAATCAGTTTGCTCGCCCAGGATCTACTGTTTGTTCAGGGCCCCGCGGACAGAGAAGGATGATGAAGAAGCGGAAATTGACAGCTCTGATGCGAAGGACAGACAAGCGCAGGACTTCGCAGGTCACAAGAATGCGCAAGGCAATTAAATAAGTAAAGTGACAAATGTAACACACACACACAGACATATATATATATAGTTATATATATATATATTTATTTACACACATTAAATCACATTAATATAAGACCAGATAAGACTCTTTACGACTCTTTATAGGAGTACACAAGTCCGTCTACATTTGACTAATTACGCATTCTAGTCTTCAAGGTCATGAGGCCTCAAGGCCAGTGCACGGCACGATTCCCGAGGAGCTCAGTGCCTCCGGGATGCGGCTGATCACAATGTCTTTGGGAATTATGCAGTCTTTCAATGGCATCCAAAGGATTGATATCGAGTGGCCTGATGCGTGGCACAAATGTGTGTTGAAGATTTGTTCAGCGAGAAAGGTTGGCTTGACAAGAGGTGCCATGAAATGCCATGAATGTATGAGACTCAGGAACTCTTCACCAAAGTCATGGAGATCCTCGCCAACTTCACCTTCAACTTCAATTTTTTTCAGCCTGATTGCAGTGTGTCTAGCCCCTACTGGTATACTTGGCTTGGGTCGCTTAGTCGCAGGCCCTATCCAGGTGGTCTCTGGCCTCCTTCCCAAGACCCGCCAAGAGAAAGTTGTCGGGTCTGAAGATATGTTTCATCGAAGGAAGTTTAGAAGTCAAACTTCCGACAATATGGACAGATGAAAAGCAGAGATGGGAAGAGTCAGAGAAGAGAAGAGAAGAAGAAAGAAGATCAAAACGAGAAAGTCTCCGAAGAAAGAAGATCCAGGTGCGCGAAAAGGTAGGAAAGTCGCAAAACACTGTGATTTGTAGCTCCGGAGAGTCCAAAAGTAGGCTCGCTAAAGCGGTGGGTGCGGAACCATCTGGCAAGATGAGAATAGATGAGAGATGAACAATTGCACGCCGTTGTGGCGCGAAGCACATTTGCCAGTGAAAAAGCTAAAAGCACCTCACGTTCGGAGCACTTGTGGAAGTTGCGATGTCGAAAAAGTGCATGCCGCTGTGGCGCGAAGCACATTTCCAAGTCAAAATGTGCAAAGCACCTCAGCTCCGGACCGCTTTTGGAAGTTGAGATGTCGAAAAAGTGCACGCCGTTGTGGCGCGAAGCACATTTCCACGTTAAAATGTAAAAAACACCAGGGGTTCGGACCACTTTTGGACGTTGTTTGCGTGGCAGGCGCAAGGGATTGTGCCCCTGGTCAAAAGTGAGAAAAACGTGAGGGTTTTGTGGCATTTCCAAAAACGATGGCAGGCGTGGGACATTTGAAGAGGATCTGCAAAGATGCATTTTCCGTGGCAGGCGCAGTGCAAGAGACATGTTCATCAGAGCTATTAGGAGGTCAGGGCGCTGATTTCCTGAGAGGGGTTGCATTTTGGAGCATTCGGTCTGTAGGTTTGCTAAGATGATTTTGCGTGACAGGTGCAGCACTTCGTATGACCTGGCATCACTTTTCCGTGGCAGGCGCAGTACTTTAGACAGGTGAAGTGGAAAAATCGCAAAACGCATTGGTACGAGGCCGTCAGCTCTGCACTCAACTTTCCATATTTGAAGGAAGTCTCGCAGACTTGCTTCTTTTTGATGTTGTCAAGTTCAAAAACTGAGGAAGTCTCGCAGAATTGCTTCGTTTTGGATGGTGTCAAGTTCCAAAATTGAGGAAGTCTCGCAGAATTGCTTCGTTTTGGATGTTGTCAAGTTCAAAAATTGAGGAAATGTCGCAAAATAGCTGCGTTTTCAAGCTTGCAGATAGACAGATAGATGGATAGATGGATAAATGGGTAGATAGATAGGTAGATAGAGGGACAGACAGATAGATACAAAGATAGATAGATCGATAGATAGATTAGGTAGAAAGACAACTACAACTACAACTACAACTACAACAACAACACCAACAACACCAACACCAACAACACCAACACCAACACCAACACCACCACCACCAACAACAACAACAGCAACAACAACAACAACAACAACACCACCTACAGCACCACCTACAGCACCACCAACAGCACCAACAGCACCAACAGCACCAACAGCACCAACAGCACCAACAGCACCAACAGCACCAACAGCAGCAGCAGCAACAGCAGCAGCAGCAGCACCACCACCAGCAACAACAACAACAACAACAACCACCACAACCACAACCACAACCACAACGACAACGACCACGACCACGAAAAAAGAACACGACCACGACCACGACGACCACGACGACGACGACGACAACAACTGCAACTGCAACGGCAACTGTAACTGCAACTGCAACTGCAACTACAACTATAACACCAACTACCAACTACCAACTACAACTACAACTACAACTAGAACAACAACACCAACAACACCAACAACAACACCAACAACAACACCAACAACACCACCACCAACAACACCACCACCACCACCAACAACAACAACAACAAGTACTTCTACTACCGCCAAATCTACAACTACAATCACAATTGCGCTTTATTACACTGTACTACACTCATTACACTGCAGCACGCTGCAACTACAAATATATATGCAACTACAACTACTACACTACATTACACAACGCTACACAACACTACGCTACACTAATTACATTACATTACACCACATCTACAACCGCAGCTGCAACTACAATTACAACCACCACTACATTGTACTACTCTACGCTACGCTAATTACAATACAACTACAACTACACTACTTTACACTACACTACGCTAGACTACACTACACCATACCACACTACAGTACGCAACATTACAATAGAGTACAGTGCACTATAATATACTACACTAATTACACCACACCACAACTACTACTGCAACTTACATCACATTAGAACTACAACTTGCAACAACAACTCCGCTACACTAGAACTACAACTGCGCTACACCACACTGCATCCAACAGTTGTGGTGAGGTGACCACTGCAACCATTGCAACCACTCCAAAACAAACAGCTGCAACAACCTTTCGGTCCATCAGTGGATTCGCTCTGCCCTCCGTGATTCACAACAACGAACCTCTCCTAATGGGTTTCCTATTTTTGAACTTCCGCCATCGCCTTGTGCGGTACTACTGGTATCATGATTTATGATATTCATGCACATGTCTCGTATCAGTGGTATCAGTGTTCAACTAAAGAAAATGCCAGATGTCGCTAGGTTCACAGTTGCGCCGTATGCGATGATGGCCCCAATTACCTTCTCATATCTGGTTGTCCGATGGCTGTCCTTCCGAGAAAGCCGTGGAGATCCACAATACAGAGTTGCTTGGCTGGCGTCAAGGGTTCTTTGGTGTCTTGTTATGTTCGATTAGCATCCATGAGTTTCTTACCTTTCTCATCCTTTCTTCCCATTTTTTTGGCCCAATCATCAACAAGACACCACAAGAATCATCAAGAATCCTTAAGGTATGCAACATGCCATTGGGATGAGTAACCCATCACAGTGCCAGGATGTGCAGAGCTGGTTATTGCTGAACGCTTGGGGAAGAGCCATGCTGACGATCCTGTTGCTCTTCATCCAGATGCACATGACGAAGCTGAGCTCACCGTTCCAGTGCTACACTCTCAAAGATGGATCGGCAGTGATGGTCGACTCCCAGGACATCTACTGTGACTAGAATCGACTAGATATGACTAGGCAATAGGCATGACTGGGTTTAAGCTGAGCATTGCCGAGCTCTGCATGCTGCAAATCTAGTAAAAGATAGTAAAAATTTCTCGAATGGGCAACAGTGCCGTTGTCTATTGTACAAGTATATACAGGTTGTAGAATCGTTGTTATCCGTTGTTGTTTCCGATTTCCTGCACTTGATTCGGATTTCCCAAGGTGATTTGGCTGATGACCAGTACTTCTTGATCTTCACAGTCGCCTGTGTTTTTTGGGTTATCTTCGCGGCTGGCTTTGCAACTTTGAACGTCTGCTTGTACTGGAGCTACCACTGGCAAGCAGGTACAAAGACACGACGCTCGACCTGTCATTTCCTGCTTTCATTTTCATAAATATCATAGATCAGGCCGTTGATGGTTTGAAAGAACTGGAAATGTGTGATTTGATTGCGGCACTAAGTATCTCACTTTTGTTCATAGAACACTGCATGGCGTGCAGATATCAAATCAATGCCTACCACACCTGCAGCAATAAAGAGACATCTTGGTGCATACACCTCTCAAAAAACCCAATAAGAAATGGTGAGGAAGAAGGCAAAAGAGCGGGCCAGGATGGTCTGGGAGGACGCTTAGACACTTGCGGTGCCAGAATGACATAAAGGCAACTTCAACAACTCCTCCCATTAGCATCATTTGCTGAGGAACACAGGAACAACCACAAGACATCGAAACACTCCTGAATTGAGCAAAAGGTAATCGAACAAAGTGCTTTCGTTTTATGAGTGCCCGTGCGTTGTGCACTGTCATGGAGTGCGCTAGCATTGCTTGTTCACTAGTTACTAGTTTATTTCGTTGTTCATCGTTATTCCCCTTCACATTTCAATCAGCAAGTTCCTCTCAGTAAACCGAGGAGATCGCATTCCAATCTATGTGGCAGCTGTAGAGATGAGCGTGGAGAACATGAGGCCAGTTTGCTGCATCGGCCGGGCATGCAACCAAGGGACGGAGGCATGCGCAGAATCATTGAAGCAAACCGGGTGATGCGTCATGACAGGGGATGGGTAGAAGTAGTCCGACTACGAGTGCTTAGCTGCTTGGTCTTGAACTGCAGACGCCTTCCCCTCCTTGCATACGCGAACGAAAAGTAACATGTAACAGTAACATTACCGCCAGCAAGTGTCCCACTCTCCTCTCACTGGGGGTCTCTAAGGCAACATTGTCGCAGTGCGCACCTATCCATCTGTCAAGGACCAGGAGGCACAAGAAAGGCGAGCATTCATGGAGGCCTTGCAAGGGTTCACGACACATGGCAGTGACTCATAGAGCGCAAGACGTTGCTGCAAGCGATCACACATGAGCAGCCTGTACCAGGCCAAAATGAAGCAACGTGGTGTGGCAGTGGTACCGGAGACAAAGGCAGGAAGGGAACTTGACAAAGAACTTGCTGACATGCGAAAGCGGAAAGCGACACTCGAGGACAGGCCATGCAGTAGTGTACGCAGTGTGCAGTTTGAGCCAGTAGCCGGCAAGTGAGTGGCGCAGGCACGTGTAGAATTACGTATGTTTATTACCTGGTGCTAATGTTGGGCTTGCTAGATCTTGCTAGGATGAAGTCAACCTGCGAGAGATCAAGATGAAGTGGAAGAACAAGGAAAAATTCACCGAGAAACAAGCGTGGCCAGATCGTTTGGACGGCAGCTATGTTACCTATGGTTGGGTACTGATTTTTAGCATCTCGGATCCCATTGGAACCTAGGTTTGGAGAAAAATACCGATACCTTTTTCTTGCCCCATTAAATTTAAAAACATCGTAGTGAATGGTTTGAATCAGATCTGAGCAAGCTTGAGTGCCCAAGGTGTCGCATTTTTGTGTATCTTCCGTGTATCTTCTGTGTATCTCAGGCACCTTTTTTCGACAGTTCGCTTTGATGCTATCAGCTTTAGTGTCTAACGACTTCCCTCCCTTCGGTGCTGCGTCTCAATCCTTGGTCTTCATGATCAACTTCGGCGCAACTGGGCAAAGCTTCATGTGTAGTCACGAGTGCGCATTGTTTGACGAGCTGCGTATATTACATTATAGTATCAAACTAATTCTGACCGGATGATGCCATAAATTCTTCGAGAATGTCTCAGGGTCCACGTCCGTGAACAAGTCTTATACACTTGTTTTGACTATGTGGAACGCTGTGGAACCTCTTGATAGCCAGCTTATTGTTATATAGTTTTTTTTTCTCCGGCAGGAAGTAGAGTACGTAGAGGTCATTTTTGTGTTCTCTAGTGACTCAGAGCGGTGCCTCCTGGTGCGAGGCATTAATTCTCCTTTTCCCATACAATGCCAGGCTGTTGAACATTGAGGACTTTTCGCATCTTTTCGCCATGATGTGCCATGTGATCCATGTGTTCGCTCAGCTCGACTGGCTCAATTCATCAGCTTTGATTTTTGCGTTATCATGGACCTTAAGTTGACCTTAATGATCCTCGAAGCATTCCATTCACGAGATCTTGAATTGGCCTGCTGCTGCATTTGCTGCCGATGTGTGCAGGAGTCGGTGCTGACTGGCTGCATGGCGTTCTTGACTTTCATGGCTGCCTTCAAGGAGAAGCCGCAGAGATCTGCAGATGCTAAACTGTCACATCGTTTAAAACCGTGTTGCATCTTGTTGCTTTCTGTGACTCTGTCGATGTGCTACTTACTTTTTTTTTGTCAGTACTTACCTGAAGATTGAGTAGCTCATGCATAAAGCACATTGTGCCAGGAGAGAGGGCTTAGGAATTTCACACAGTCGAGTGCAGCCGACTACAGCCGACCAGCCGACTACAGCCGACCAGCCGACTACAGCCGACCAGCCGACTACAGCCGACCACAGCCGACTACAGCCGACTACAGCCGACTACGGCCGACTACAGCCGACCAGCCGACTACGGCCGACTACGGCCGACTACAGCCGACCAGCCGACTACAGCCGACTACAGCCGACTACAGCCGAGCACAGCTGAGTACAGCCAACTACAGCCGACCACAGCCGACTACAGCCGACCACAGCCGACTACAGCCGAGCAAAGCCGACTACAGCCCACTACAGCCGACTACAGCCGAGAACAGCCAACTACAGCCAATTACAGCCGAGCACGGCCGACCAGCCGAGTACAAACTGTCCACAAGGATAAGATGATATCAAAATTCCCACCCCCATGGAACTTCAAATTGACTTGGACTGCCCGCTAGGATCAGGTGATATCAACGTTCCCACCCCCATGGAATTTCAAACTGTCCACAAGGATAAGATATATAAAAATCCCAATCCCATGGACCACTGAACTTCAAATTGACTTGGACTGTCTGCGAGGATAAGATGATATCAAAATTCCCACCCCCATGGAACTTCAAATGAACTTGGACTGTCCGCGAGGACAAGATGATATCAAAATTCCCACCCCCATGGAACTTCAAATGGACTTGGGCTGTCCACAAGGATAAGATGATACCAAAATTCCCACCACATGGAACTTCAAAATACCCACCCGCATGGAACTTCAAATTGGCTTGGACTGTCCACAAGGATAAGATGAAATGATATCAACATTCCCACGCCCATGGAACTTCAATTTGACTTGGACTGTGCACGGGGATAAGATGATATCAAAATGCCCACCCCCATGGAACTTCAAATGGACTTGGACTTTCCACAAGGATAAGATGATACCAAAATTCCCACCCCCATGGAACTTCAAATTGTCTTGGACTGTCCACAGGGATAAGGTGATATCAAAATTCCCACCGCATGGAACTTCAATTTGACTTGGACTTCCCACACGGAGAAGATGATATCAAAATTGCCACCCCTATGTAACTTCAATTTGACTTGGAGTGTCCGCACGGATAAGATGATATCAAAGTTGCCACCCCTATGGAACTTCAATTTGACTTGGAGTGTCTACAAGGATGAGATGATATCAACATCACCAGCCCCCTTGCAACTTCAAAGTGACTTGGACTGTCCACAAGGATGATGATATCAAAATTGCCACGCCATGGAACTTCAAATTGACTTGGACTGTCCAACACCACTTGAGGGAAGTGAACATGAGTTTCTTGGTAAAAAGGATGCAAATCTGATGAGTTTCTTACGTATCTGGCACTCAACCCTGCAGTCATTTTGCTGGTGCTGGCTTGGAAGTTGCAACCATATCACATAGGGGAAGTGACTGCAAATGAATATTCAGATTCAAAAGCAGCATGTTGAACAATTGTAATCCAATCCCCTTTCATCACGAGTTTCGCATTTCCAACTCCCTGTTCCTGTGCTTCCCCGGGTTTTAGTATCCGACTCCCGGTTTCCAACTCCCTATGGATAGTTTCCGTTTCCGAATCCGCGTGTCGCGTGTCTGTCAGTTTCCGAGCCCTAGTTTCCGAATCCGTGTTTCTTAGTTTCTGAATCTTAATTTCTGAATCCGCGTGTTTTAGTTTCCGAATCTTAGTGTCCGAATCCGCGTGTTTTGGTTTCCGAATCCGAATCCGCGCTTCTTAGTTTCCGAATCTTAGTTTCCGAATCCGCGCTTTTAGTTTCCGAATCTTAGTTTCGGAAGCCCCGTCCTCCTTAGTTTCCGAATCCTTTGTTTCTTATGTTCCGAATCCTCGTTTCCGAATCCGTGTCTGTTAATTTCCGAATCTTCGTTTCCGAATCTGCGGTTTTAGTTTCCGAATCTTAGTTTCCGAATCCGCGTGCATGTTCATTTCCGAATCCATGGTTTTAGTTTCCAAATCCGTGCTTGACCGCGTTACTAACTTCTCCACTTGCATGACGGGGTGGGCTATTAACGTCTTTTTTACTAACAACTTCCAACTGCGTTATTAACCTTTCTAACCACTTGCATGAGGTGGGGTGGGGCGGGGTGGGCTATTAACGTCTTTTCTACTAGCAACTGCCAAGTGCATTACTAAATTTTCAAATTGCAACTATGTTGTCGGCTCTTGTAACACAACTTGCAACTACGTTGTTATCTTCTCGATCAAGGTCCAACTACGTTGCCGACTCTTTAAAGACAACTTGCAACTACGTTGTCGGCTCTTGTGACGGAACTTGCAACTACGTTACGTTGTTTTCTTCCCGATCAAGTTCCAACTACGTTGTTGACTTTAGTAACACAACTTGCAACTACGTTGTTATCTTCTCGATCAAGTTCCAACTACATTGTTGACTTTTGTAACACAACTTGCAACTACGTTGTTATCTTCTTTTTTGTCCTACTGGTACTATTGATGCAGCATGGTCTGCATTAAAGAGTTACATTCCCAACAGTTTGCCCTCCCAAAGCCGCGATTTACTGTTGCACGCAAAATCTTGGCAATGGAGGTACATAAACCGCAGTGCCATTTTGCAGCAGAAGACGATTGACACATTGAAACGCATCTTGAAAAAAGTGTTGTTTTTCAGATTCCACGAAAACCATCTTTAAAAATGAGCTTTTACTGTGGTAAAACGCGAAAACGCCCCAATTTTGGTTTCGCCACAGTGCCATACTCATTTTTTGAAAACACGTGCTTTTACGAACATGGTTTCCGGTCCGGCGGGAAATTTATGCTTCTGACCCTCTAAACAGCAAACCCACTAAAAGAACAACAATTTGGACTTTAACCCTTACAAATTCTCGCAGCTCATGCCAGTCTAGTTGAACTTTGATGGAAACTACTGGGACCAAAGAAAGTCAGTTAAAACTTGTGTGAATTTCTCTGTATTTCCTATGTAATTGCTTATGTGCTTCCGATGCGGTGTATAAGCACTTTATCTGCATTTTTTCAGACTTCATGTAATTGTGCTAATATTACATGAAGCTCTTACCAAATTACATGAAGGCACATGACGTTTTTTAAAAAATGCAAATACCGTGCATTTAAAACGCATCAAAGGTGCACAATAATTATGTGTGACACTTCACAATTTCTTCGTCACATTCGTTGTGAAATCCACAGCGTCTTCATTGATGAAGTCTGGTATGCGCAAGAAAATACATGAGATCTGACACACAACACAAATACATGCACAAGGTCGGCACAATTGCAGTCTTTTGAACATCATCTCCGACAAAGTTCACTAGAGATAATCCCATGTATAGTATATTGAAGACAGTCTCAAGCAAAGTTCGTTGAATTGCGTCCCAAGTCCCCTTAAGGCAGTTTCAAATAAAATTCAACTGGGGGTGTGTCTCAAGTAAGTCCATTGAAGACAATCAAAAGTAAAGCCCACGGAAAGCAATCTCCCGTAAAGGTTATTGAATATCAGCTGAGGTAAATTCACTGCATATCATGTCAAGTAAATTCCACTCTTTCTTTAGTAAAAGTCTACATGCCGGACTCAGCCAGAGTCAGCAGGAGTCAGCCGGAGTCAGCCGGAGTCGGATGGTCAGCCGGAGTCAGCCGGTCAGCCGGAGTCAGCCGGAGTCAGCCGGAGTCAGCCGGAGTCAGCCGGAGTCAGCCGGAGTCAGCCGGAGTCAGGAGTCAGCCGGAGTCAGCCGGAGTCAGCCGGAGTCAGCCGGAGTCAGCCGGAGTTAGTAGGAGTCAGCCAAGCCGGAGTCCAGCTGGAGTCAGCCGAGTCAGCCGGAGTCAGCCGGAGTCAGCCGGAGTCAGCGTCAGGAGTCAGCCGGAGTCAGCCGGAGTCAGCCGGAGTCAGCCGGAGTCAGCCAGCCGAGTCAGCCGGAGTCAGCCGGAGTCAGGAGTCAGGAGCGGAGTCAGTCAGCCGGAGTCAGCCAGGAGTCAGCCGGAGTCAGCCGGAGTCAGCCGAGTCAGCCGGAGTCAGCCGGAGTCAGCCGGAGTCAGCCGGAGTCAGCCGGAGTCAGCCGGAGTCAGCCGGAGTCAGCCGGAGTCAGCCGGAGTCAGCTGGAGTCAGCCGGAGTCAGCCGGAGTCAGCCGGAGTCAGCCGGAGTCAGCCGGAGTCAGCCGGTCAGCCGTAGTCAGCCGCAGTCAGCCGCTACGTTTTTCAACCCTCCCTCCCGGCACCCTGATAAAGCAGTAACACCGGTGGTTATATTTTTTGGGAAGTGGCACCCATCTTCTCCAGAAGATCCAGAAGCATGCGCATTGCGGATCACCGCGATTGGTTACCAGAAGAGTCGGTTCGAAGTGAACATGTTGATGTGGAGTTTTGATCAACAAGTGTGTCTCAGTGCAGTTACAGTAAGCGACATGAACTGACATCGAAAACTTTATATGATGTGTATATTGTAATATATTGCAATATTAGACAACTATATCATAAATTATGATGATTATGATGGTGGGAGTCTAAGCTTGGCCGGATCAGCCCTTTATCATTTCAAAGCGCAGGATTTGCACAGGGACAGACGCTTTGACTTACCATTGATGCTGTGTAGTTGCATACGTATGCCGACCAGCACGCGCTACAGACACGTGACGGTTAGGGGATCAAGTCGGTATATCAAAGACAAGGAAGCTGGCAATTTGCAAGCTTGCCCTACATTTGTGACACAGTCAAACAGAGTCCAAAAACACAGTCCAATTTTTGGAAGCTGATTGATCTGATTTTTTCAAATAGTTCTCAAATGCTTCAAAGAAACACCTACAGCACCAACCGTGAGGAGATGCTGTCCAAGCACAACCAAGCACCGCAGTACACCGGCACTATTTCTGCAACAAGCGACTTGACGGCTCGATGGTTGGCTTCCTACCTTTGAAAAGTCTTTCTTGCTGTATCTTGCCGTAGCTTCCCCTGCATGGCTGGAATCTGACTTGGTGTGTCACAGAGGTACCTTGATTGACGTGCTGGTTCTCGTTATCGTGAGCGTGATTTGTGGCACTATGGTCTTCAACTTCTACATCATTGTAGGCCTGGCTATTGGGCATGTGGTCCTGGGAGCGTTGATGAGAACACGAATATTGGAGCATGTCTATCATGTCTAGCCAAGAAAACAGCAGACTTCGGCTTTTCGGCTTTTAGGACACTGTTGGGTGCAAGATGGTGCAAGCCTGGATTCTGAGGTGGTGCTGTCAAGACAGAATCTGATGACCAGATTCTCAACAAGGCTTACTATGATACTGCGATGCAGTCACTTTGCCAAGCGTCGGGGTCAGGGTCAATAAAACTGGTTGCATGGTTTCGTCGTGGTCCATGTGACAGGAAGGTGCAATCCACCGAAGTAGATTCATGAATTGTGTCACCAGGCTTCAAGCAATCATAGAAGAACTAAATGTGTAAACTAAGAAGCTCAAAAGATGCATGTTTTGCGTGTTTGTATGTCGCCCGGTTTTGTTGATGGCAGCTGAGGCCTCTCCGCGAACGATTATATACCTTAACGGCCTTAACGGTTAAGGCTTAACCTTTCCTAAGATTTGCTGGTTGTTATTCCAAGTTTTTCAGGTTCTCTGCCAGGTCATCGGGTGTTCATCCATCATATATAGTAGCCTAGGCAAGAGCGGCTAAGAGAAGAAGAGGAACGTGGTGTTTTTACACGTCAGAGGGAGGCGTGGTTTTGTGACGTTTTGTGAGCACCCAACGTGTCAGAATCCGATAGCCGATCCCTGCAGGAAGAAGCACGGCTTGAAGAAGATGAACATGAAAGAGCATTTTGGGACAACCCGTTGCAGGAGCTCGTTGCAAAATGTCAGCTCTGTGTCACATTCAGAAGCTTGTCGAATATGAGTTGCCTGGCAGAACGTGGAACGCGAAGTTACTGGCTTGAAGATGAGACTGGCCAGCAAGCACTTTTTGGACAGCAGATTTGGCAGACTGCCCTGATTTAGTGAAATTTTGCAGCAGTCTGAAGTGGTATGACACTCCTTTTGCTATCATAAATTTGCACAATCCGTTCACCCAGGATCCCGTTGAAGGAGCCAGAATGCGTTGAACTGGACAAGTGCATTAGTCGCCGGGCCTTGATTCTTGATAGTGCAAACATGTGCACACCGGCACATAGAGGCCCAATACTTGAATCCCGCGACCATATGCGACCATGAGAATTGGTTGACAGAATTTGTTGAGCTCAATTGTCACACCAGAAGTGCCATACCATCAATTTGTCCCAACCATCCAATGGATGGGTAGTGACACACACACACAAACAAACAAACAAACAAACAAACAAACAAACAAACAAACACACACACACAAACAAACAAACAAACAAACAAACAAACAAACACACACACACACATTATTTATTGCATTTCGCTCGAGACGGATCCCTGTCACCTGCATGCCTAACCAGCCGAAAACTCCAAATGTGCTGGAGCAGCTGATCTTGTCTTTGAATTGCCTCAACCTTTTTCAATTCACCCATGTTGGGTGTCTACAGCAGATTGCAAATGAAAATGTGCTAGACATGCTAGACCTTACGTGCATGATAGTCTGCCATCATTGTCATCCCTGCAGCATTAAGATCATAAGGATCATGCACCATGGCCAGTTTGGCTAATACCTCTGGTAAGCCTTCTGGGTCCATTTCTGTCCCTTCGCAAGCTGATCCCTCACGACCCCCCAGAACTTAAGTCGCCTTCCAGCCCTTGGAATAATGTGCAAACAACATCGATGCAAGCCATGGCAACCGACCAGCCAACATTGTCGTCGGCTTCGCAAATGTCTGGCCGAGCGGCCCTTGCAAAAATGCCACTGTTTTTATCTGTGCATCCAGCATCAGCCACTGCACAAAAGCTGATTGCCAGATGGTCACTTTCGCTCATCACTTGGATCCCCTTTCGGGTGTTCCAGTGTAGTTGACCCTAAGATCAACATGAGGAGTTTCAGCGTTGTCAACATCAACAGCGTGCCTGTGTAGCACTGTTGGACCTCCTTCAGTGACAAATGCAATCGTCCCCATGGCATCTCTGCATCACGGAGTGGCTGTGGGCATGCCATTCCCTCAATCTGGTTCCACCTTGCGCACCTTGCGCAGCTGTATGTCTCACAAGGCGGACCTCCATGGCCTCCAATCACCGCCACAGCCCATTGTCCAGCACGTCACCACGACTGGATCCACCGCCAAATCGATTGAGATCGGTGTCACTCTTCCATCCCAATGCATCCAAGAAGCTATATCACCATATTGCCTGTGACCACTGAAGAATACCAAGAAAAACTTCTGATCTTGCATCAGCGGTCTTGGGGCCCAATCAAAATCAGGATTCCACTTGGTGATGTTTGCTTTGAGTTTGGCCTCCAAAGCAGATACGTCTCGGCATGCATTGTGCACTTTCCATTCTGTAAGCTTCTTCGTCGTGGCAGGTCTTCCACCTTGTCCTGTTGGCAGGGTTCCCAAAGTCTTCCAGCATTCAATCTATTTCAATCTCTGGGTCTGTGGGAACACTCCATGGGTCACCAACATACTCACGACATGGGAGATGAGGCACCATTTCCTCAGGTCCAGCCCACTGCCACGCTTTTTCCACCACCGCATTGCCAATGCCATGCTGGTGCATGGCAACTCCTTGTTTTCGATCTGCGTCATCCAAATCCGCAGCTTCTTCTCCGCTCATAGGCATGAATGTATATACGCATGTGGAAAGCCCAGCATCGAGTGCCTCCCCACTGCAAATGTCTGAGCAGTCGGCATCTAGAATGAAAATTCTTCCCACATGCACGATTACCCCATCTTTTGCAAATCGACGCATACAGTAGCCGTTCTCTTACCATGTTGTCGTTGTTGATATACAGAGCACAGCATGATTGCCGAAGGCCTTTCCACAGTCCTCACACGACACTGTTGTTCCACTCTAGGGCTCTGCCTCATCAACCTGCAAAGTCCATCCTATGTCACGACAAAGCTCAGTATGGAAATCTACATGATGTTTCAAATCACTGTAAGTGCGCACCCTGTAAATGTGAGCTATCTCAACTTGCTTGACAACCTTCGTGATGTGTGTGTGTGTGTGGAACATCTGAATAGATCTAAAACTTCTTCACAGCAGGGGGCACAGGTGTGACTCTGGTTCCTGTGCCAACGAAGACGGCCAGACGTCACAGTGATATCAAGGGAGACGTCCCTTTGACGTACCTGCTTCAATTTTCATTTTTCATATCAATTTTCTGCAATGGGACGTGGCTAACCCAAGAACCACCATGCCGTTTCCAAACAACTCGTTTTCAATTTTCTCGTTTTGCACGGTTTTCGCGATCTGCCAAGGTGGGAACGATTTTGCTTATATAGTTGAAAGGGAAGGGTCAGCTTCCAACTCTTTGCATCTAGCTCTGGCTATGGCGATGGTATCTTTTCGATACTTCTCGGGTCTTTTCACCGACCCATTCCTGTCAGGTACAATTGGGGTGTTTTTGCACGTAGGATGCATTCCACATCAGAATTCGCAATGATCGTTCCGAGCAAGTGTGTGATGCATGCTGCATCTTGGAGATCGTGCCAACATTGCCAACCAGCAATACCCAGAAATTCATCCGGTATAGCACACTTGCCTACCTGCGACTGGGCCCATCTGATGCTCATGATGACACCATGTAACCAAGATTCTTCACCTGCTAAACGATGGTTGTGCAACACCGCTGTGATGACATAAACATCAAAAACTTGAAACAAATGTGCAAACAACCTCAATTGTTCTAAGTACAGCATCTCCACTGGCATAGGGGCTCTAATTTTCGCTGCCAGCTGATAGAGCTCCTTGTGTTTGACATCTCCCTTGTCTGTTCTGCTCTCGAGCATCTGATATGTGCGAAACAAGGCCGCTGCCCACGCATCTGCCTCCCCTTGGTTCATAGCAAACCAGGTACTTGAATGAAGACGCAGCACAGAAAAATCCAAACTTCGCACCAAAACACGTTTCTGCTCTTCGGGGACCATGTCATGCGAAAGAACTTGTTCGAGAGGAACAATGTTCTGTCGTGCTGCAGCCGCTCGTATCTGGATCTCAGGGAGCTTCGTTCCTCCCCTCACTACAGGCATCTGACAAAGTCGTACCTGTTTTAGGAAAAATCGTTGTGCCTTGGGGAAGTGTGTTTCGCAAAAGTCGTGCCTTTAGCAAGAACGCATAGGAACTCTGGAGTTTGGATATGTAACCCGTTTTCTTATGAGATCACGTAGCTGATCACTATTAGCATGCAGAATTCCAGGTTGTAGGTATGTTGATTAGTTATAGGTAAGATGGCGTTGAGCTGGTGATTTGATGATTTTGGATGTTCATCCCAGATTATCTTGCTTTTCCCGAATGCGTAGCGAAATGTTCCCGTTTATAGTCTGGGGGTCTGGGGTCGGCGTCGCGTCGTCGGGTCGGCGTCGCGTCGTCGTCGCGGCGTTAATTCCGTGTCTATGGGGGAAGCTGTAGTACAAAGTGGTACTGGGAAGTGCTTTGTGCAAGCTCTGTAGTACAAAGTAGTACTGGGAAGTGCTTTGTGCAAGCTTTGTACTACAAAGTAGTACTGGGAAGTAGTTGGTGCAAACTTTGTAGTACAAAGTAGTACTGGGAAGTGCTTTGTGCAAGCTTTGTAGTACAAAAAAGTACTGGGAAGTGCTTTGTGCAAGCTTTGTAGCGCAAAGTAGTACTGGGAAGTCCTTTGTGCAAGCTGTGTAGTACAAAGTAGTACTGGGAAGTGCTTTGTGCAAGCTTTGTATTACAAAGTAGGACTGGGAAGTCCTTTGTGCAAGCTTTGTAGTACAAAGTAGTGCAAGCTTTGTAGTACAAAGTAGTGCTGGGAAGTTGTTTGTGCAAACTTTGTAGTGCAAACTAGTACTGGGAAGTCCTTTGTGCAAGCTTTGTAGTACAAAGTAGTACTGGGAAGGACTTTGTGCAAGCTTTGTAGTACAAAGTAGTACTGGGAAGGACTTTGTGCAAGCTTTGTAGTACAAAGTAGTACTGGGAAGTACTTGGTGCAAGCTTTGTAGTGCAAAATGATGATGCAGAATCCCAGCTTTGACATGCAGGTTGCGCACGAGAATGACATTATAAGAGAGTAGAAAAGCAATATTTTCACCAGTCGCGTTCCATTGTGTTTTATGTTTTTTTAATGTCTGAAATGCATGTTTACACTTTTATTGAGGACAGCGTTCCATGCAGAAAAACATTTAGGCATGACTTAGGCATGACTTGTTGGATACAGCGTTTACAATGGTAAATGCCATTCAAGAACACGCTAGGCATGACTTAGGCGTGACATTGTCGTTTCCCTGTACATGTCCACCCAAATGCTTGTAGTGACCCACCAGCGGGACTGCAACCAGACCATCATGCTCTGAAAACACCTGCAGCCTTTCACTGTGCTATCTCTCACAAACTTTTCGTGCTGCAATGGAATTGGCACCCCTGAACTCAAGAATTGCTGCTGTTTTTGATTGTCCATATGACATGCGCATGCCATGCTCAATTGTGACATCCATGATGATAGACAGCAAATGGCAGCAACACCTGGGTGTTCTGCACCAGTGAGTCTGCAGCTGCAAAAATCGCAAAGGCAATGTCATCCACCCGTGTCACACAGTGTGTCAGCTCACCATCGCCACACAGCACATGCAAAGGGATTTGCGCCTCCTCAGCTCTGTCTTGGATCTAAGCAAGCATCTGAGCCATGATGTATCCAAATAGGACATCAGCACATGGATCACCAGGCCTTGATCCTGTCTGGGCACAAACCTCCTTGCCATTAGGGATGGCGAACCATGTATTGGCCAAACTGGCTCCTACATTGTCGGCTACGATCTCAGCCTGTGTCGCCCTCTTTACCAGATCACCTTCCATCACATTCGCAAGGAAACCATTGTAGGCAGATGAAGGCAACTTCAGAGTCTGAAATATGGTCGCCACAGCTTCCACAGACCCATCAAATCCAGCTAACATCGGCTTCACAACACTATAGAAAGCTGTTTTCAGATCAATGAAGACAAGTGCAAGGGAGCTCCGAGTGTGTCTGGCATTGGATTGCCACAGCCTGATGTGGAGGTGTAGCGGCTCAATGCCTAAACCCCTACGACCACCCCTTTGCATTGCTCTCGCCACATTGCTGAGGCCATCCACAATTGCAGGTCTCCAGGTTTTGGAGAAGATCCTTCCCAATGTTGGTTCCAGCAAAACCGCTCTGTAGCCTGACATCTTGCAGGGATTCCGTTTCCTTTGAGAAGTGGAAGGTCCACCCTCCTGTGTGTTCCACCACCGCCTGCCTTCTGATAGCACTTTTGAGAAAAAGAGGAAAAAGACGCATGGCTGAGTGCGCAATTTGCATCTGCCATGCTTTGGCGCCAATGCAATCCACACCGGCCGCTTTTCTATCGCACATGGCCCTCATGGCAGCTTCCAAATCATAAAGTGTCGGAATCTGCCCCAATTCCCGCACAGAGACTGCCTCACATTTGGGTTTGGAACTCTTCAACAAGCTGCTGAACTCTACATGTTCCGCATTTTCAATGGCCGCAAATTGACGGTGCCATGCAATACATAGCTACTTCCTGTCTCGAAGTTTTCCAGACCCCATCTGCATCTTGCAGTCCTGGCAAAGGTTTGCCTCTTTTCCCTTTCTTTTTGTCCACCATTTTCTTGGGCTGGAGAATCTTGTAGATGTCTGAAGCTTTCGCATGTTGAAGCTGGGCAATGGTGTCATGCAGTCTGCTCTGGACCCACTGTTTCCACTCAGACCTCTTGGCATCTCTTGGCCCTACGAAACTGCTGGTCAACATCCCTCCTAGCCTCCAAAACAACGGCTTCTTGCATCATTCCAGCATGATTTGCCAAATGCCATTCGCTGATGTCATCTTGTCTGAGCACTTTGTCTCTCCACCCTTTGAAGAAAAGGCCCAGCCAACGCACAAGAACACAAATTGTATACTATATCATAAGATAACATAAGTCATTATATAAATATGTTTTGTTAGTAATTAATTACAGTATATGATATAATTATATGCACATATTAAACACGCATTTTATTCACCTTTAAACGCATGTACAGCTACCACAATATTTAGCTGCTTCATGTACGCGCTATATATAATTACATATAATATTATAAAATGCATTCATGTTGGATCCGGAAAGAATAATCCGATCCATTCTGCATGGCACATGCGTTGGTGCAGATATAGGTGTAATGTAGAGACCAATTGTCACAGCGTTGTTTGTGTCTATGTGCCTCTATGCCCATGCATGCTAAAATTCATCTACGTCCATATCCATCTACATCATTCTACATCTAGGCCTCAACAATGAGCGAGTTTTTCTGTATTTTTGCGTAAGCCAGGCGCAAGAACAATCCTTGCCGTTGTTGAAGGTCCGAGTTTTTTGCAGGCAGATTGTGGTATGACTAGATTGTGTGCGTGTTTCTGATTGTGTGCATGGTTGCCGGGTGTATGTGCGCCCGCGTGTGCACGACTAGAACGCCACAATACGCCAGATATAGCCTCGGAACAAATCCAAGATATGGGAGAACGGGCGGTGATCGCGGTGGGACATGGTGGGACATGGTGGGACGGCGAGCACAAAGGTGCCATCACTGGTCCATTCGCAGAAGAACTGCGAGAGAAGAGAGCTGCGTTCGAAAGTGCCCTGGAAAAATTGGAAGAATTGGAAGATCGATGTCCAAATGTGCCAGTTTTTTTTAAATATAGTTCCATGACGCCATGCCACCTGTTCAGATAAGTGTCGCGTGAGTCATGTCGTTCACTGAGACTGGGCGGACTGGAATCTAACTGTGACTCATCAAGCAATGCCCATGTGTTTGGTGTGGAGATTGCTTGATGAGTTCAGGCAATGTGCAGAGGAAAAGGGATGCGATGATGACCCGCCAAGAGATGGAAGCTGAAGAGTTAAGACAGCATCTCGTCCTGGGTCGGTTTGTCCATGACAGTTGCCAATTTATGAAGTATTTTGAACATTTTTGAACTGAAAAGATGTTTAAAAGGCAACAGAAATCCGAAGGTGAGCTTCTTGGAGAGCTCAAGTGGAGTTCCTACATGCAGATTTCTGGTACTTCACCTCCGCACAGCCCGCACCGTTGTGGAAAGGTTGTCATACTGTCAGAATCTGTCAGATTGGTTTTTTCAGGTCTAGGTGTTTAAATCCGCGGGTGATGCTTAGCACACAGCCGCCGTTTTTTTCTTCCAGCGACCGGAGCGTTTCCACCATCTCTACGATGCCGCCGCATACCATTAGTTGGTGGCTTTTGCATCATGTGTGTGTGTGTGCAGCCTCCAGACCTAACATCCAGCGCATGTGCAAGTGTACATGAAGGTGTAAGTCTTCACCCCCTTTGTGACAGTAATGACGACTTCTTTGGACAAAGAAGATGATGGTCTCTGGGTCTTCTACTTGGTTGCGCCAAAGTAGGTCCGCATTTGTCTGCCAGCTTGCGTTTCTGGAAGAGATCCCATTTTGGATCAATTTTGGATCCATTTGGCTGATGCCAAGCTTGCTCCCTGCACATGCCAAGGATGCGCTGGGAAGAATGGAGGCAGCGGAAGGCGGATACCTTCTGGGCTCGCCACGAAGCCAAGGAGCGCGAGTGGATGATGAGAGAAGACCCCAGGTTGAAACACGAGGCTGGACGCATTCATTTCAAGGCCTTCCGTGTCGGGCCAAGATTGCCAAGGATCAAGATGGAGGTGGAAACTCAAAGGTTCATGCAATTTCATGCGTGTCTAACATGCGCATTTAAAGTTTATCAAGATCTATCAAAATGGTGCAACCCTGCAGCATCTATTTTCCTGCGATTTGTTAAAACATGTTTAAAGCAGTTTCGTAGAAGGCCTTCATGCAAGAAGTGCTGCTGGCAACCGAGAAGTTTGAGCAAGAATGCATGGAAGCTGCAGAATGTGAGCAGCGAGAGGCAAGGCCCACGGAGACTATCCGATCCAGTTTTCTTCGGGAAGCTGCGAGTGTCAAAGGATGCAGACCTGACGCTGCCTGACGCTGCCTGACGCTGCCTGACGCTGCCTGACGCTGCCTGACGCCTCGGGGTGCCTACAGTCTACAGTCTGTCTGCGCTCCGCTAGGTCGAGGAGTGGAATGCCAATCTGGAAGCAGCTGAGAGGTCTGTGATGGCGGTTGAAGATTTTTGGCCAAGATCTCAATATGTGGGATGATGTTTGATTATTTTTGTTCCATGATTTCTCATTTGGGATCTGTCGGAACCAGAGTCTGAGCCAATAAAGTCATTGGGTCTCTTTGTTCAAGGTCCTTTGAGGCCAGAGTTTGGGATAACCTGCAGCGCAAGGAGATTCAAGGGGTTGTGGTGTGTCATGAAGTCATTGCAAATTTTGGGAGACTCTGGAGCAAGTCTTGGGCCCTTGTCCTTGGGCATCCTCCGGCTTGATTTCAATATCATTCTATATCATATATATCATTCCTTGTCATCACTTTATTTCATTATTGCAAATCTATGCGAGCTTCTTGACAGATGTTGACCCTGCAGTTCTGATAGTCCTGCTCCTGCATCATGTGCAGGAACCCGAGTCGCGAGTGAGGGAGTTGCGGGTCATGGCGCAAGAGGAGTACGAGAGCAGTCTGTGCTGAATGTGTTCTTGACCTGGACCTTTCAACAGTCTCAACATGCGACAGTCACTTCATCATAGTCTTGTGATGAATTGTGATGTCTTAAGTCTTTCCAGGTACAAGCAGAGGGAAGTAGAAGAGACCAACCTCCGCCTGGAGGCAAAGTGGTCTTGCGAGTGGTCCATCACTTTCCGGTAAGCAAGGTGCTTTCAATAGCCATCATAGATCATCATCATACATAATATATATATAATATATAATATAAGCATGATGAATCATGTATATAATTATATATATCGGCACGAAATGGGAAGAATATGGAGCTGGAGCCATTCGAAGGCCCTTTTCCTCGAGCTCATGCAAAAGGAAGAGGAGCGTCAGCGAAAGGTGGAGGAATGGCAACTTGGCACAGTTTGCCACCAGCCAATTTGTTGACCACGTGATGAAAGCTGAGGTAAGTTAAGTGTAGCAGTGTAGCAAGTTTGTTGAGGCTTTCAGAAATGTCTTGATGATCTTGAGGGTAGACCTTTATATATATATTATATAGTCTCAATACACCTTGGTGATCTTGGTGCTGTGGTCTCCAGTCGTTGTTGCCTGCATGCTTGAGTTGGCCGTGGCCTTGGGACTAAGGAATGCCGCCCTGGAAGCGCAAGCCCGAGAGGCACCCTTCGGAATAATTTAGATTTGATTTTGTTAGTTATTCTGCTATGACACCAATGACTGAAATTGGTCATGTGACTTCGAACATTCATATTTTAATCCCTGGCATCGACATGCTTTGACCGTAGCTATGTCGATTGTTTGCCTCACTTTCATGTCTCCATTTCACAAGGCTTCAATGGTCTTGACGCTTCCATTTTCAGCTGTGCACAGGCCATGGAGCTTGCAGAAGAAGAACGGCGGGAATACGACGACATGGCCGAGGGTTTGCGTTTGCAGTTGCTTGGCTTACCACTGATCAAAAGCAAGAACGGCAGGAGCCATGGCAGACTGAGCCATTCCAATTTGTCCAGACAATTCACAAGACATCTGAGGATTGAGAAGGAGCACATGAACTTTGGCAGACTTGGTTTATGATATATAGTATTCAAGCGGGGGGAGTGGGATGCCAAATTTGCTTGGCCTTTTTATTTCTATAGCCAAGATTGCAAATCATGAAGCTAATTTCCAAGGCTCATGATAGCTCATGCCTATGGAAAGTGAATCCCCAGACTGGCAAGACCAAGCACTGTAGATGGGGGCACCTGCCTTTTCTCTCTACGAGCGATCTCTGCGCACAGGCCATAGCAAAAGGATACAGGCCCACAGACAGACAGACAGCCAGCCAGCCAGCCCCCAGCCAGGCAGCCAGCTAGACAGACAGAGAGACGGACAGACATCGGAGGACTTGACTAGACTATGCAAGATCATACCAGCATTCATATACGAGCATTGACCGGCATGCAGACTTGAAGAATCTTGAAGATCTTGCAGCTGCCGCTGTGAGGAAAGCATTGCAGAAAGAGGAGCTTAAGAAGATGCGAAAGGACCCTGGAAATCTTTGGGATTTACTGAAAGCTTGCTGTGGACGTTCGATGGTTTGTCATGGTTTGTCTATGTTTGTCTGATTGTTGTGAGCTGTTGAGCCGCCAAAAGCGCATGACACCAGGAAGAGAAGCAACAAAACAAGTACTTGGCCAGCGTTCAGGCTACTGAGGACTTGGCTTACAGCAACTTGACGTGGCCGTTCACATCGCTTTGTCATTACCGACGGAAAATTGAAAAAGAGAAGGATAATTACATGTCACGGGAATAGGTTGATAGATTCTGGTGGGATATAGAGAAGAGAGTTAGATATGATACGATACTCACGTTATGATTTTATGATATGATAAGAGAGAGAGAGAGATATATATATATATATATAGAATAGAATATTATAATGCCTCCCGTTTTGCCTTTCAATGTCTTTGCTCACCATTGCGGTCGCTGTCTCTGTAGGAGTTCGAACTGAGTTGCATGGTTGCAGAAGAGCGGCGCGTTCGCCAGGTTGAGGAGCTGGCCATCAGGCAGCGTTGCAAGGTCTGTTGACCTCGATCCTCGATGCCTCAACATGCCTCAGAAAAGTCTAGAACATCTAAAACGGTTAGTTGATGTTAGTTGCTGTTTGTTGTTGGTTGAACATGGAAGTCACTGTGTGGGTCATGACCAGTGGACAAATCTTTTTGCCCTGCTAGGCTGGAGGCACAAAATCTCGAAGAAATGCAACGGGAGGATCAGCGACAGCGGGAGGTCGCTGAGCTTGCAACGCGATCGTATGTGATTGATTGTGATCATATATTCTCCTGGATTTGCATGGATTTTCCTACTCATTCTCATTTCTTCGTGTACGTCAAGAACATGATGTCACATGAACTTAATCTGGGCAAGTTTCTGCCCCCGAACTTCTGGACCTGAAATGTGCACCGTGGGGATGAGTAGTTTGAAGATGTTTGAAGGGGTCGTGCTGCTTCTTCTTCTTTCTTGTGCTCCTCCATTGCATCAACGAACTGCAAAAAAAAAGAATGACCATCTGCCAAGTTACAGCGCAAGTGAAGACACACGCGTGAGATACATCGGTCAGAGATCCGTCGGCCACATATGTCCGCTTATTTCTTGGTGAGGTCAATGCATATCTGCAAAAGCTGGAAGAGGAAGAACGGCATAAGATGACGGAAGAAGACGACTATGCACAATCTTTTTGGAGCCTTGCCATGCACCGCCAGACAATGCCAAGCTGAGAACAAGTGAGACCATCAACACAATATCAAAACATATCAAAACGCTCTTGCATACTCTTGCAGCGACTCTTGCATGTTTTGCATCATGGTCATATGCGGCCGTGCTTCCTAAATTTGCATACGTGCTTGATGCTCCATTTGGCAACGGCAAGTTTTGTTGAGCAACTTTAGTTTCAAGAATTACGCTGGAATATCTAAACAATGGAAATGTCGGGGGCAGGCTGCTTCTAGAGGTGGACCAAGCAGTTTCCCTAAAAAGCTCTGCCCAAACCATGCACTCTTGGTGGGTCCCTTGTGCGCCCATCGGGTTTCGTGGCGAACAATAAGGACCGATGTCAATTCAATGCTTGAGGTGGTGCGAGACCGAACAGGCCCGGCAGAGTGTAATATTGATATCTGGATTGGAAGTGTGCGAAAGCAGCAACAGCAACTTCCTGCATGTTAGCGCAAGGTAGTACTAGCCTCCAGTTGGCGGTGGCACTTAGATCACTTAGAAATGTACATGCAAAATAGATCCAAATCGCTTAGGTTTGAGCTGCATTCATCACCAGATATGCTGCGGAACCTGCGCATACCCAATTGTGCCACGGATGTTATGCATACGAGCTGCTGACCAAGACAGCATCCTTACTCAGACTTAGTACTTGCAGAGAGCCGATGATATCTGCATTGCAGGCATGGAATTGAACGACCCATTGATGCTCGCAAGAGCTGCTGCGGAGCTGCGCAGAGACCCTTTGTCTTCCTATTGCCTTCTTGAAAGGATGGATGTGCGATCGTGCTTGCTTTGTTTGTTTGGCCCTCGTCGATTCTATCTGAGAGAACCTGCTCTAGAAAAGACATGAAACAGCTGAGGAAAGAACACAGATGACCAAAGAAGATGATTTAGCTGAGGAAGTGCGAGTTCATGACAGAGTAAGGCCATATTCTCGATGCTCATCTCATTTGCATTCTCTTCTTCTTAGGTTTGTTGCTCGGCTTTCCAGGGCAAGAGCAAGAGCCCATCAGGATTCAGAAGGTGCATGATTTGGTGAATGCTGTGTGATGATGCAGGCTTGAGATAGAGGAAGCTGACCGTGAACGAAAACAGCAGGTGGCTGGATGAACTTGTGGTTTTGGTGTGATGTGTTTTGCACCTGAATTCAGGGCAAAGTATTTTCAAAATCAACAGAGAGAGTTTCATGATTCATGCTATCCTCCCGTTTTAACTTGACTAACTTGACTTGCTCTGGAGAAGCTAGCTTCAATAGAAGCTTGATAAGCTTGGCAAGCTGATGGGATATGTTGGATCTTAATAGATCTTATGCGTGTTTACAAGGCCTACTGTTCCAAGATTATTTCTTCACACCATTGGAGTCCTTGGAGCATGTGTCAAACAAACCGGAGAGAGAGAGAGAGAGAGAGATCTAGAGAATGGGTGGGAGTCGTTTCATGATCTCATCCTATGGTTTGGGCTTGCTTGAGGGTTACTGTATGTCACTGTAAGCTGTGTGATGTGTAATTTCTCACCAACTCAAGGCTCGAAAGCAGAAACAAATACCAATAATAGTGTTGGGATGTTAGAGTTTTTCCAATGGTTTTCCCAGTTTTCTCTGCAGCAGTAAATTCAGATTTTCAAACGAATCCAGTGAGCCTCAGGGATTTTTAGGAGAACTCCAAACATGTTGATTGCAAGATATTGAAAGGCTTTGCGGTTACTGGTTGCTTCACGTGCGCCACAACCCTGGTTTTCTATCGTTTCTTGCCAGAATCATCGATGACCTCCAGTGGCAAAGCACCTTATATATATAACATCTTATAACTACAGTCTTCCATGGTGGCCAGAAGTCCCAATATGATCCTTCTTCATGTCGGCTAGACAATAATACCAGGCACCATTTGTAAGGACTTTATCGGCCTTGTGATATTCAAAGACTAATCATCCTGGTGGGTTTGACTTGCATTGTTTGCTTATCCGCACATATCCGCACCACGTCAGCTGCAAGGAGCCAGAAACTCCGAGAGCGGACCCACAAGAGCGAGAAGAGGTGCCCATGATGTGCATGAGCAATCCCAGCCAGGTCTGAGCCACAAATCGGATATCTCATTAATGAATGAATGGAATGGAATGAAATGGAATTACGTGGAAGGCCGCGGAATGAAGTGAAAGAATGAAAGAAAGAATGACTGACTGAGTGAATGAATGAAAGAAATTAACTGAAGGAATGAGGGGAATGAACTAATCCAATGATTGAATGATTGAATGAATGAAGATGTAGTTGGCTGGCAAGACGGATTTTAGAGTGATAGAAAGAGGGACCCTATTGGAATTACTTGAAAATTATGCAATCAATGAAGATTTGTTGGGTGAAGCTCATCTACGTAGAACAAAGTGCTTTCAGCCACAAGTTGTCCTCTGGTTCGATCCACCAGAACTGTTCCACAGGCTTTGGGCCGGCTCTTGTGACATACAGAGCTTGCAGTGCTGTTTGTCAATATTTGTCAATCTGTTCCCAGTATCTCTCAATTTTATCTGTTATTATCGCTTCATTGCTTTCAATCATTCCCCGCAACCTTCTGCATGGTTTTGGAATGTTTTAGAATGTTTTAGATATATGAATCGTGATGTTGGTCCTTTGTCTCATACCATCTCATACCCTTCTATCTCATTTTGGCGGGCTAACATGAAACAAATCTTCGCGTTTTCCAATTTTCTAGTTGCATTTTCCTTTGATGGGGACCAATCACGCACCCCTTGGGGCTCCAAATTGTCAACCGAGCTCTTTCCAGGTCATACATGGCCAATTATGGGACAAACCCATTTTTGATGCACAAATTGCATAAAAGGAAGAATCCACGGCATTTGATTTGGGTATGCCCACTTCAAAGTGGGAGGCCCGAAATACAACAAAACGATCCGGGATGTCCAGAAGTCATGGCCCGCGTTTCGTGTGTTGGGATGAGTTGGAGCCACCGTGCTCGGACCCATTTATTTAATTTTATATAAATTAGTACTGATGGATACAAATTGACAACAGGGTGCTGGTGGTCAAACCACGGTACAGTGTAAGATTCTAAAGATGCAATGATGCAAGCTGGGAGTCACACTGCGTTGAGCCCCGGGTCTCCTTTGATGGGAACGGAACCCTTTGAACGGCCATATTCATGCCTTCTACATGGTCCCACCATGTCCCACCTTCCATGCTTTCATCGCCATGTGCATGCACACCCCAGTGGGGCAAAGAATGTCCGGCCCCAAGTGGTGCAATGCGCGAAGTTGGCAACCCAAAAGTCCGGCAAGCTATGAACTTTGGATAACTTTGGGGTCATGTTTCTGGTCACATTTCGAATTTTTGTATACTTTCAAAGATCTGGAAGTGTTCGGGGTGTGCAACAGCTGCTGGCAGGCCGGCCCTGCAGAATTGGAGGCGGAGGATTTGGATGAAGCTCTTGCTGATGCACGGGTGCTCAGAAACTGGGGCGAGGCTGCAGTGGAACAAGTGGACAAGTACCAAAGTTGCTGAGCTTGAATGGTCGCCGGGCGCACAATTTCATATAATTTCATCATATTTCATCATATGTCAGTCACCAACCATAATGTCAGTCACCACCCTCTGAGGTGAGTGAGGAAAAGCAGAGGAGGAAGAAACGCAGCAAGGATCGCAAGAATCAGGTGCCAAAATGGACAAAATAGCAGGATGCTTGGAGATTTGCGTCCAATGTTGGGAACATGATCTGCACATATCTGCGCCATCAAATTGGGAAGGTACGAAGGTAAGTGAATGCAAGCGGTAAATGACTAGCAGCGCTGGGCCATGCTGGGCCAAGAAGTGGTGGAATGGGAGCCTTGCACGGTGCAGACTCTGCAGACGTATGCACATGTGACGGCCTAAAATTAAAAGTCTCCCAAACTTGGAGCCATCCAAGTCGCAATCAACGGTGGGCTCATTTTCTGATATTCTCGACGTGTTCTCGAATCCCACATGAACTTGTCCCAAATTCTGATTTTTCTATATCTTTCTTAGTGTGGAACAGCTGGCAGGTCGGCTCAGTGGAATTGGAGGCGCAGGATCTAGACGAAGCTCTAGCTGATGTGCGTACGCCCAGAAACTGCGGGAGGTGTCCTGGGGGTCCCGGTGTGGTGGTCCCTGCGGTTCCCTGCTCAACACCTCGCCTCGATGGCTGCAACATGTGCATTGCTGGTCTGAGGTGCAGGAGGAAAAGCCAGGGAAGAAAAAGCGCAAAGAGCGCAAAAACCAGGTGTCAGCCACCCTGACCCTGAACCAAAGATAAAGTGGTGAATAGCGATGAATAGGTAGTGACTGTGTCAGATGATGTCAGACGTCAGTATGTGTCAGCTAAATCCACGACTAAGATCACCAATCGATTGGTGTGTTCTGTGTTCGATGTTGACTTCCTTACTTCAGACACCTTGAGAATCCTTATTAAGACATATTAAGATTTAAAGATCTTAAAGACGTCATAGGATTCACAAGCGAATTGCACTCTGTTCTCGATCGTTGTTGCCATGCGGCCATATATACCAATCTTCCGAGACAAGAAAGCAGGTGAATGATCGGCCTCGCAACTTTGCCTAGCTGATCGTTCAGGCTATCATTGAAGAAACGGAAGAAACTACCATAGGAAAAGAAGAGCTTGAGAGCGAAGAAGGGAAAGAAGAGGACAAGCTTCCAGAGTACACGAGAATCACAAACTTTGCCCATTGCGTAAATGAGGGGCGATCAGGGGCTGCTTACTGTTGAACACTTGGGGACAAATAAATATTATATATACATATATATGAGTCCCTTATCACTGGCTGTGGTTAGCGAGTGTTTGTCATTTGACATGGGTCAAGCTTTTTGGTTCACAGCTCGTTGATGCGCGCTCTGATCGACTTGGTCCGTGAAACCCGTCTTTGGTGGAGCGCGACCGACTGTGGTGGCATTAGCTGGCCTTTACTGGCCCTGGTGGTGATTGGTGCGTGGTGGATTGGACTGCTCATAGGATTTACCCTGGGAGCCTTAGCATTTTCACCTGGCTGCAGGCGACTGCTTATTTTTGTACTCCAGACTGCGATCACTGTTCTGGGGCCTGCTGCGGGGGCTCTTGTTCCTGACCGAGGTTTGGTGAGGACACGGCTGGCTGGGTATCGGGGCTGAGTGTATGACCGGAAGGGATCCTGTGGAGGAAGTTGCTGTTCAGTTAGGAGATCTTAGGATCACTGTCAGGCAAGTTCATCAGGGATCTCGTAGGCGCACTCATCAGTCAACCAACCAGGGTCATCTGGTTCCCTTGCTGGGCCGCGGCCCGTGGAGTTAGCTCACGCTACTTCACCCACCTCCGTTTCCAGTTGGGAGCACGTGGAGGAATCTGCTGAGATCTGGAGTGACGCCTGGAAAGAAGCTTTGCTTGCGGCTGATACTCAGGAATCTATTGAGCAGATCGACTTGGAGCCTGTGGTTCATTTAGCTCGCCGCCTTCGCAGTGGTCGTGCTGAGTGGAGCCCTTTGTCTCGTGTTGGTCGAGCTCTTCGAGCAGGTCTTGCGGCGCAAGCCAAACTTTCCACTGGTTGCAGGTTGCGAGTTAGCAGCCCGCAGTTGAATCTGACCAACAAGGTTTTTGTTGTGCTTCGTCCTGGCCCTGCGGGACGAGTGGGGTGGACTAAGAGTCCCACTGCTTACTTTCGCGCCGTTGGCAGCGCGACATCATCTTTCGCCTCGGAAAGTGTATCGCACTCTTTCCCCACTGAGGCTGAAGCAGAGGCCTATTGCATTGGAGCGGGAGTCAGATGGCCGCCAGGGCCACTGCTCGAGTCATAGACCAGTCTGAAATTGAGACCCAGTTTCGCGCTGCTGGCCCATCAGGAACCTTTTTCCATTTTGGGGCTACTACGGAAGCTGGGGAGCCACTATGGCGGGCAGCTACCTATGTCACTCGCTTGCGAGCTATGGGGTTCATGTTTGCACTGCCCGGAACCGAAGAAGTTGTGGCCTACTTCGAGCCGGGCGGCAGAGCACCAGAAGAGTTGTTTGTGTTCATGCAGTGCGAGGTCGATATGGAGACTCCGCGTGGGCGTGCACTAGGACCAGGCAGTGTGATCCTAGTAGATTGCGGCTGGGCAGGGCTCGATTATTTCAAGCGACCTGCACGAGTCGAGGCTGGTGGGCTAGTCCGGTTCACAGCAGGAGGCACAGTTGGGAGGCCTATGAGGGTCCCCTTGGAAGAGGCTGCAGAAAACTGGGTCCGAGATGCCATGGACGAAGACACTGCTGCGGAGTACGTCACTGGTTCAGGTGGCGACGACATTCTTCCTGGGGAACACGATGGAGAACCTCTCGATGGTGCAATTGCTTCTCAACTGTTGCAGCGTTTGGAAGAGCTGGAGCGCGCTTTGGGGCAGCAATCTCAGGCAGTTCAGGCAGCTGCCCCGCCTCCTCAACCTGCTGTTCCAGGAGGTCTCCTAGGTCAGGATTTGGGGGGCCGCCCTGGCGATGCAGCCGCATTGGAGCGTCTTCAACTTCTGGCTGGGGCAGCACCTACCAGGTTGGGTGGCCACGAGCGCTCAGCGCGCGCGGCGCGACCCGAGATGAGCGCTCTTGCAGAAACGCAGGCGGAGGCGGTCGAGGCCGCAGAGTTCGACCAGTCCTTGGAGGAGGCTTTGCAGACCACCGAGGATCCCATGCAAAAACTGCTTGTGATGCAGATGAAGCAGATGGCGATGTTGGCAAAGAACTTCAACAAACCGCTGGACCCCATCCAAGCTGCCCTCAATTCAGGAGGCAGCGACAGCAGTGGAGGAAGTACCAGTGGCATAAAAGGATGTCTAGCCCGGGACGCCTTTGTCAAAGTGGCCGAGGACCTGCACAAGCTGGCTGCAGTCGCCGAGCACAATGCGGTGATGGAGCTGGGTCTGACAAGACAACAGATAGGCCCAGGTCTCATGCGGGACTACATCGAGAAAAGGGTGCCATTGGGGAGTTATCGTCTTCTCACTCAAATGGCCTATTTGGCCGCATCTGGATGGGAAGTCGGGAGCCGAACCGACAACAAGGAACTTCAAGGGTTCTGCGCCAAGCTGCTGATGTTTGTGGAACAAACAGCTTTGGACCAAGGCCGCACGGGCCTCAGCTGGCTGATGACCGGGCTCGCCGAGCCAAATTTTGCCCAAACTCAAGCAAACACTGTGAGGGCGGGAGTCAAGCCATTCACCCGGCTGGCGTCACCCAGTTGGGTGGCAGCCAATGTCTCTTACCTGCGAGATTTGGACTTTCTGGAAACAAAGATCCGGGCGGGTGGAAAGGGCGACAAAGTTTCCCCGGACAAGGTCTCGGAAGACAAACCCAAACCTACAAAGAAGTTCGGAAAGGGAAAACAGAAAGGCGATCGAGCCGACTCAAAAGCCTCGGCGTCAGCCGATGCGGGGGCCCCAGCGCGTTAGAGTGTTTGGATGAAGCATCTCAGCTTGACCCTGGGTACCGGGCTGGTCTTTTGCCGAGTTCTACATCGTCAGCGCAGGGAGGACTTTCCTCTACTGTGAATCTCTTCGGTCGGAGACCAGCCCGGGAACCGAAATCAGCTGATATCAATGATGCTTTCAAAAGTGCTAAGCTGGCTGCAAGCACTCAAACCAAAAAGTCTCAGGCCTCCCCTGACAATGTCCACAAGTCTGGGGCTGTGCCTGCTGAAATTAGATGCAGCGTTCTGATGGACGCCATTTTGCATGTTGCTGGCAATCCTGCCAGTTGTTTTGGGGCCTTTCTGAAGCGAAGCCTCAAACCTTCTCGCCGTGTTCACGGAGCTGTCCCCAGGTCCGACATTTGGCCATGTCCCCCGCCCTTGTGGAGTTGGACGGCTGCCCAGCGTCTCTCACCGCGCCGCAGACACAGGCGCTCCTTTCTTCAGTTGAAGGCAAAGACGTTGCAGTACGTTGTGATCAGCCTCAACTGGTTGACCCTTGGTCATGCACGCAGCCCGCCAGATCATTGCGTTGCTGGTGCCCCTATCAGCGACGCTCAGCATGCAGTGTTGGAGCGCTTGGAGGAGATGATCCACTACTTTTTGAGTGCTCCTTGCGTAGCTTTGGATGATCTAGGACGGGCTGGAGAGAAGTTGGCTAATTTGTTAAAAGTGAGTTTTTCTGTACCCTCACATAATTCATGTTCTTTTGAGGATGTGGAAAGTTTTTTGAAAGTTATTCAGAGTGATTTAGACAGCTACGGCCGTGATGAGAACCGTGCTGCAAACACCAACACTGAGCCATCAGCTTCAGCCCAGCCGTGCGGTGACGCTAATGCTCTTGCCAATGCCTCAGGGTCTGCTACAGGGTATAAGGTGGAGTTGGCTACTTCACCTGCAAAGGAAGTGGTGGCCGATCGAATCAAGTGGAAACTAGGTCCTACTTTCAACCCTTTGCCCTATCTCAGTGATCCTATTGTGAAGGAGGCTTACCTCAATCCTGAAGTGCTTCGCAAACCAAAACAGGATTGGCCGCCACGACCGCGGGCACGAGTGCGATGCAAGAAACCAGAGCTTTTGAATCTGGCAGAAAAATGGGACAGTTTGGGAGCTTGCCAGCTTATTCCGGTGTCCGAGATTGGCATCGACGAAGCAGTTGGTTTGTTTGCAGTTCCTAAAGACCAAGACTATGACCGCTTGATTATCAACCCAGCAGTTATCAATTCCAGAATGTATACGGTCAACACCTTCACCAAGACTATAGCCCCAGGACATTTGATTGGTATGATACGTTTGCTACCTGATGAAGACTTGCGTATTAGCTCAGACGACTTGTGTGAGTTCTACTATACTTTCAGGGTTTCAAGATCTCGGGCTGCTCGCAATGCTATTGGTACACCCTTTTTTGGCTGGGAACTGAGTCATCTCCGATGTTTTGATCCACAGTATATGCAAGATCGGGTTTATATCTGTTTGTCTACTTTGGCTATGGGTGACGGGTTGGCTGTTGAAATTGCTCAGCAGAGCCATTACAACTTATTGAGACAGTTGGGCGGGCGCATGGATCCCAAAGAAGTTTTGGCGTATCGCCGGGCTATCCCAAAAGGTCCATTTTATGAGTTGCTCACCATTGATGATCATATTGGTCTACAGCGTGTCAAGAAGCATGTCCCATTACAGTTGCAAGACACTCGTGACAAGGTGGTTTTTAAAAAGGCTGAGGAAGCGTATTCTACAGTTGGTTTGACACCCCATCCGGGGAAGCGGCAAAGACAAGTGACGCATGCGACCGTGTTGGGCGCAGAAGTTGATGGGCTCCAAGGGCGCGTTAGTGCGCCGCGCAATCGGTTGGTGTTGTTGATGTTTTGCACAGCTGTCATCATTCAAAAACAACATTGCACAAAGAAGATTTTACAGAGTATCATTGGGTGCTGGATTCATGCTTTACTTTTTCGCAGATGCATTTTCTCAGTGTTGGATTCTGTTTACCATGAGGGTTCAGCAGGTTCACCACATGATGTTTTCAAGCTCTCTAGCCAAACCATGAATGAGCTGCGCATGCTGTTGCTTTTGGGCACTTTGGCGCAGACCAACCTGCGCGCTGATGTGTGCCCGGAGCTGTTCATGATGGACGCCAGCCCGGCTGGCGGTGCGATCTGCCGGGCCAGCGTTGGTTCGGAAGCAGTGCATCACATGTGGCTCCATAGTGAACAACGAGGGTATTACACCAAGTTGGAACAAGGGCCTGGCATTGTTTTGCGAGAAAAGGGTCTGGAGCACTCAGATCTGTTTGGGGCCGAGACACAGCCTATGGAGTTGGATGAGGCGCTCCCTGATTCGTTTGCCTCGCTTGAGCGACCGTTGGCTTTCACTTTTGATTGCATTGAGTTGTTTCGGGGGCAAGGGAATTGGAGCACTGCACATGAATCTCATGGGCTCAAAGTGCACCCGGGTCTGGAGAGATCTGCTCGAGGTCTTCAATTTGGAGATCTTAGTGATGATGGCACCTTCCGCAAGATGGTATCCTTAGCCGAGAGTGGCTGTGTTCGTGAATGGCATGCGGCTCCTCCTTGCTGGAGCTTTGGTACCCTGAGACGCCCCAGACTGCGATCCAGAGATTTCCCTGCCGGTTTTGAACCTCAGGATCCGGTAACCTGGAGTCAGACCTTGCTTGCCATTCGAACAGCATTTATTTTGTGTGTTGCAGTGTTGGCTGGTTCATTTATCTCATGTGAGCAACCGGGGAGTTCAGTCATGTTTTATTTGGAGTGCTTTAGAAGATTGCTGGCTTTGGGCTGCAGAATTACCAAGTTTTGTTTTTGCGGTTTTGGCAGCGGGTTCAATAAACCTTCAAAGTGGCTTCACAACAAACCCTGGTTGGATGAGCTGGCTGGTCGGTGCACATGTGCATACAGAAATCAGCATTTTGTGGTTCAGGGTACTTTTACGCGACAGAGTATACGAGAGTTTGACAGAAGATGCTATCCAGATTGCCTCACAGTTTACGGGCGTATGCCCAGAGTAGGAGAAGCTGTGAGTGCTTTTTCAGCTTCTTACCCAACTGCTCTGTGTCAGGCAATGGCGAAAGGCAGTGCCGCATCTTTGTTGAGTCAGCAGCCTTCAATCGACTCAGCTGGTCGCGCACCTGTGCGGCCCTGGCACGAGGACCCGGACTGGGTTCATGATCTCTGTGAAGGTTTGGAATATCGGGAGTTGTTTCGCTACAAGTTCAGGCGTTCTGGGCACATTAACTGTTTGGAATGCAGGGTGTACAAATCCTGGTTGAAACATTGCGCAAAGAAGTGGGCCTGCTGCCGTTTGCTAGGGCTTTTAGATAGCCGAGTAACTTTGGGTGCAGCTGCAAAGGGGAGAAGCAGTTCCAGGGCCTTATCACATATCCTCAAAACTTCTTTGGGCTACGTCTTGGGATCTGAACTATACCCGGGCGGACTTCATGTTCGCTCAGCCTGGAATCGTGCTGACGGTCCCTCGAGAGATGGCCCTGTTCCTCCCCCTACTTGCAAAGTTCCCCCATGGCTTGAAAAACTTCAAGGCGGTGATGACTCACTTTTTGAGGTGATGATTGAGTCTGCGCGATGGACGCGTCCGGTCGGGCGCTGGGTGCGCCTGCTCCTTCTCATGGCAGGCGACGTTGAGCCAAATCCTGGGCCCGGAAGGGGCCCGGGCCCCGGGAAAGCACGAGGGCCTCTTAGCATGGTGGTCGGGCTTTCGCAGACGACTGTTGCAAGGATGGACGCTTGCCTCCGAATGTTTGAGGCCTGGCTGAAGGAAGAGGTGGACTGGACGCTGAGTGCTGCGTTGGGTTCAGCGCAAAATGCAAATCTCAGCTTACGCGCCTATGGGCGATACTGCTATGCCTCTGGGAAGCCTCGGTATCATTTGGTTTATGCAATCACTGCAGTGCAGCACCTGCGACCTGAATATAGGCTGTTTTTAGCCGGTGCCTGGCAGGTGGATAAGCAATGGCAGTTGGAAGAGCCTGGACAGTGTCGTGCAGTTCTTTCTGCGCCGGTGGTTCGCACCATTGTCGCTCTGGCTTTCCTTTGGAACTGGCATTGCTTTGGCGGCTTGGTGGTCTTAGGTTGTGCTGGTATGCTTCATCCAAATGAGTTTATTCTTTTGCAACGGTCTGATTTGATTTTTCCCTCTGATGCTTTGGAAACCAAACCAATCTTATATGTGCATATAAAGAATCCCAAAACCGCGCGTTTTGCGCGGCGACAGCACGTCCGCATCGATGATCCTTCGGTGCTTCGACTGGCGCAGCTTCTCTTTGAGCATCTCCCATTGGAGCAACGGCTCTTCGGGGCTTCGATTGCTGTGTTTCGAAGGCAATGGAATGCATGTCTGGATCACTTGGGTATTCCGAGAAGGCAGACTGAGAAAGGTGCCACGCCAGGCACGTTGAGAGGTTCTGGAGCTACACAGCTCTACTTGGAGTCGGAGGATTTGCAGAAGGTGGCATGGCGAGGACGTTGGGCGCGTATGCGCACTGTGGAGCACTATGTGCAGGAAGTCGCTGCCCAGCTGTTTTTGCACCAGTTACCTTCTGCAGCCAAGTCTAGGATCATTTTGCTGGAACAGCACGTTTGGACAATTTTGCAGGCGCAATTTCCCCAGTTTTTCAGATCTCTTGCGAAGCAGGAATGTAGAGACGGAAAAGGTGGCTGTGGCTGGAAACCTGTGTTTATGCCGAAGCCACCATAATTCCATGTAATCCAAAGGCCTTTTGGAAGAGTTTCTTTGCAGCAATTTCAGCTGCCTGGGCAACTTTGTACAGGAGCGAGAAAAGCAGCGGAGTGATGAGTCCCTTATCACTGGCTGTGGTTAGCGAGTGTTTGTCATTTGACATGGGTCAAGCTTTTTGGCCCTTCCCACCTCCCGAAAAGGTGGCTGTGGCTGGAAACCTGTGTTTATGCCGAAGCCACCATAATTCCATGTAATCCAAAGGCCTTTTGGAAGAGTTTCTTTGCAGCAATTTCAGCTGCCTGGGCAACTTTGTACAGGAGCGAGAAAAGCAGCGGAGTGATGAGTCCCTTATCACTGGCTGTGGTTAGCGAGTGTTTGTCATTTGACATGGGTCAAGCTTTTTGGCCCTTCCCACCTCCCGAAAAGGTGGCTGTGGCTGGAAACCTGTGTTTATGCCGAAGCCACCATAATTCCATGTAATCCAAAGGCCTTTTGGAAGAGTTTCTTTGCAGCAATTTCAGCTGCCTGGGCAACTTTGTACAGGAGCGAGAAAAGCAGCGGAGTGATATATATATATATATATTGGATATTCGTACTGTAGATCACAAGCAAAGCCGAACGCACCCAAGTCTTTGAATCATCAGTTTGGGACCTTTCGGATCCTTTCGGGACCTTTATGTTTGAATAGAGCCTTCTTATGTATATAGTAATGTAGTATTATTTAGTGCTAGTCGTTTTACATGGGTTTGATAAAACGTGATGAAACAAACTGAAACGGGATAGAAGAACTAAACAGACTCTCGACACTTTTGATGCACACGGCTACGGCTAAAAACATCCAAAAACACTTTGTCAATCAAACTTTTCCCCAGTTCGTGGCCCTGATTCTATAACAATTTCATTTCTATATTTGTTGCTGTATGTTACATTATGTTACTGTACCGCTGCATCCGTCATATTCCGTCATTTGTACTAAAGCACTTTCCTGGTTGGTGTTGGTTTGATTCACATGTTTTCTCCTTGGGCAAATAGCGGGCGATTTGCCCAGTCTATATAAATCTGTATCGGTGTGAAGGAGCCGAAACCTCCAAAGGTCCACCTCAAAGAGGCACCGAGAATGGAAAGAGATGGAGAGGGAAGATGAACCCTACTGGCTTCAACGAAAAAGCATGTAAAAGCGAGAAACGTGGCATATACACATTATATACATAACATTTGTTGATATCTAATATCTACATGGTTCATCATGATTCTACATGTCCATGTCCCTATGTTGCACGAATGTTGCAAGTCCTTTGGTTCTCTCATATTCACTCCGCTGGAACTGTTCCGTCGGGCTGCGCTGCTGGCGCGTGAAGTCAGTTAAAGTCCAGATTGTTGTGCAAACTTGCTCCCATGGTAAATTGATATAGTCACGATATGTCACGATCATCACTTCCGAAGCAACCTGTCGCAGGGCCGTAGCTGAGTTGGGTCCTGGGAGTCCTGGGGCATCCCACATCATGTCCCACCTTCCATGCTTTCATCGCCATGTGACACCCCAGTGGGGCACAGAATGGCATGTATGGATGGCATGTATGGAACTTTACTATCAGCAGGATGGCACGTATGGATATGTATGAATGTTCATTGAGGATACGAGTTGCATATGTTGCATTGAACGGAAGGGTCAAATCACCATTGGGATATGTGGGCGCATCTTGGTCATATGGCCAACACGTGGCCAAAAACGCAAGTGCTGCAACAGCTGCTGGCAGGCCGGCCCTGCAGAATTGGAGGCGGATGATTTGGATGAAGCTCTTGCTGATGCACGGGTGCTCAGAAACTGGGGCGAGGCTGCAGTGGAACAAGTGGACAAGTACCAAAGTTGCTGAGCTTGAATGGTCGCCGGGCGCACAATTTCATATAATTTCATCATATTTCATCATATGTCAGTCACCAACCATAATGTCAGTCACCACCCCTCTGAGGTGAGTGAGGAAAAGCAGAGGAGGAAGAAACGAAGCAAGGATCGCAAGAATCAGGTGCCAAAATAGACAAAATAGCAGGATGCTTGGAGATTTGCGTCCAATGTTGGGAACATGATCTGCACATATCTGCGCCATCAAATTGGGAAGGTACGAAGGTAAGTGAATGCAAGCGGTAAATGACTAGCAGCGCTGGGCCATGCTGGGCCAAGAAGTGGTGAAATGGGAGCCTTGCACGGTGCAGACTCTGCAGACGTATGCACATGTGACGGCCTAAAATTAAAAGTCTCCCAAACTTGGAGCCATCCAAGTCGCAATCAACGGTGGGCTCATTTTCTGATATTCTCGACGTGTTCTCGAATCCCACATGAACTTGTCCCAAATTCTATCAAATTCTGATTTTTCATGATTTTTCTATATCTTTCTTAGTGTGGAACAGCTGGCAGGTCGGCTCAGTGGAATTGGAGGCGCAGGATCTAGACGAAGCTCTAGCTGATGTGCGTACGCCCAGAAACTGCGGGAGGTGTCCTGGGGGTCCCGGTGTGGTGGTCCCTGCGGTTCCCTGCTCAACACCTCGCCTCGATGGCTGCAAGATGTGCATTGCTGGTCTGAGGTGCAGGAGGAAAAGCCAGGGAAGAAAAAGCGCAAAGAGCGCAAAAACCAGGTGTCAGCCACCCTGACCCTGAACCAAAGATAAAGTGGTGAATAGCGATGAATAGGTAGTGACTGCGTCAGATGATGTCAGACGTCAGTATGTGTCAGCTAAATCCACGACTAAGATCACCAATCGATTGGTGTGTTCTGTGTTCGATGTTGACTTCCTTACTTCAGACACCTTGAGAATCCTTATTAAGACACATTAAGATTTAAAGATCTTAAAGACGTCATAGGATTCACAAGCGAATTGCACTCTGTTCTCGATCGTTGTTGCCATGCGGCCATATATACCAATCTCCCAAGACAAGAAAGCAGGTGAATGATCGGCCTCGCAGCTTTGCCTAGCTGATCGTTCAGGCTATCATTGAAGAAACGGAAGAAACTACCATAGGAAAAGAAGAGCTTGAGAGCGAAGAAGGGAAAGAAGAGGACAAGCTTCCAGAGTACACGAGAATCACAAACTTTGCCCATTGCGTAAATGAGGGGCGATCAGGGGCTGCTTACTGTTGAACACTTGGGGACAAATACATATTATATAATATTATATATGCATATTGGATATTCGTACTGTAGATCACAAGCAAAGCCGAACGCACCCAAGTCTTTGAATCATCAGTTTGGGACCTTTCGGATCCTTTCGGGACCTTTATGTTTGAATAGAGCCTTCTTATGTAGTAATGTAGTGCTATAGTCATTTTACATGGCTTTGATAAAACATGATGAAACAAACTGAAACGGGATAGAAGAACTAAACAGACTCTCGACACTTTTGATGCACGCGGCTACGGCTAAAAACATCTAAAAACACTTTGTCAATCAAACTTTTCCCCAGTTGTTCGTGGCCCTGATTCTATAACAATTTTCATTTCGATATTTGTTGCTGTATGTTACATTATGTTACTGTACCGCTGCATCCGTCATATTCCGTCATTTGTACTAAAGCACTTTCCTGGTTGGTGTTGGTTTGATTCACATGTTTTCTCCTTGGGCAAATAGCGGGCGATTTGCCCAGTCTATATAAATCTGTATCGGTGTGAAGGAGCCGAAACCTCCAAAGGTCCACCTCAAAGAGGCACCGAGAATGGAAAGAGATGGAGAGGGAAGATGAACCCTACTGGCTTCAACGAAAAAGCATGTAAAAGCGAGAAACGTGGCATATACACATTATATACATAACATTTGTTGATATCTAATATCTACATGGTTCATCATGATTCTACATGTCCATGTCCCTATGTTGCACGAATGTTGCAAGTCCTTTGGTTCTCTCATATTCACTCCGCTGGAACTGTTCCGTCGGGCTGCGCTGCTGGCGCGTGAAGTCAGTTAAAGTCCAGATTGTTGTGCAAACTTGCTCCCATGGTAAATTGATATAGTCACGATATGTCACGATCAGCACTTCCTTCTAGCCAAGCTCACAGGAAGCAACCTGTCGCAGGGCCGTAGCTGAGTTGGGTCCTGGGAGTCCTGGGGCATCCCACATCATGTCCCACCTTCCATGCTTTCATCGCCATGTGACACCCCAGTGGGGCACAGAATGGCATGTATGGATGGCATGTATGGAACTTTACTATCAGCAGGATGGCATGTATGGATATGTATGAATGTTCATTGAGCATATGTTGCATTGAACAGAAGGGTCAAATCACCATTGGGATATGTGAACAGCTGCTGGCAGGCCGGCCCTGCAGAATTGGAGGCGGAGGATTTGGATGAAGCTCTTGCTGATGCACGGGTGCTCAGAAACTGGGGCGAGGCTGCAGTGGAACAAGTGGACAAGTACCAAAGTTGCTGAGCTTGAATGGTCGCCACGCGCACAATGTCACCATATGTCAGTCACCAACCATAATGTCAGTCACCACCCCTCTGAGGTGAGTGAGGAAAAGCAGCGGAGGAAGAAACGCAGCAAGGATCGCAAGAATCAGGTGCCAAAATAGACAAAATAGCAGGATGCTTGGAGATTTGCGTCCAATGTTGGGAACATGATCTGCACATATCTGCGCCATCAAATTGGGAAGGTACGAAGGTAAGTGAATGCAAGCGGTAAATGACTAGCGGCGCTGGGCCATGCTGGGCCAAGAAGTGGTGAAATGGGAGCCTTGCACGGTGCAGACTCTGCAGACGTATGCACATGTGACGGCCTAAAATTAAAAGTCTCCCAAACTTGGAGCCATCCAAGTCGCAATCAACGGTGGGCTCATTTTCTGATATTCTCGACGTGTTCTCGAATCCCACATGAACTTGTCCCAAATTCTATCAAATTCTGATTTTTCATGATTTTTCTATATCTTTCTTAGTGTGGAACAGCTGGCAGGTCGGCTCAGTGGAATTGGAGGCGCAGGATCTAGACGAAGCTCTAGCTGATGTGCGTACGCCCAGAAACTGCGGGAGGTGTCGTGGGGGTCCCGGTGTGGTGGCCCCTGCGGTTCCCTGCTCAACACCTCGCCTCGATGGCTGCAAGATGTGCATTGCTGGTCTGAGGTGCAGGAGGAAAAGCCAGGGAAGAAAAAGCGCAAAGAGCGCAAAAACCAGGTGTCAGCCACCCTGACCCTGAACCAAAGATAAAGTGGTGAATAGCGATGAATAGGTAGTGACTGCGTCAGATGATGTCAGACGTCAGTATGTGTCAGCTATATCCACGACTAAGATCACCAATCGATTGGTGTGTTCTGTGTTCGATGTTGACTTCCTTACTTCAGACACCTTGAGAATCCTTATTAAGACATCCCCGATGCTTACCCCTGGCTGAAATCCTGAGGGTCCAGCCCAAAAAATAGCCAGCAGGTACCTTGGATATCTTCCACCGCATATTTATCCCAGTAGCTGTTTCTTATATGTTGGGGTTGTATCGGAATTTTATTCGCCGGATACCTTTACTATCAAATATAAAAGTTCTACACGTTCTTGACTCTCAGTCCCACGGAATTTTATCCAGGAGGGATTTTGGTACATGAAACAGTTCAAGCAGGGATTTTGGACGTTCTGTTTGGAGGGCATTGTGCGCGATAGGTTTCCAAATCCACAGGGCTCATGCTAGCCACGTTTTGGGACTGAGCCGGAACTGCACTCTTCCGTGCATATGTTGTCCTCGCCCCGTTTTTGGAACGGGCGAAGAAAAACGAGGTTTGTGCATCAACTGTTTTTTTGCGCGAACCATCTTGTTGAAAAAATCATTTCGCAACCAGCATTGCATGTACATCATGTACTGCCATCCGTTCTTGGCCCAGTACTTTTCTAGATGTTCAGAGATGATGGCAATCTGCCATCAGAGTGCCCCCAGAAAACAATATAAACAATTGTACAATATTTGGATAGCACGCGTTTGCCATCCCACCAACACATACACACACACACACACGCAACAATGCAAACACTGCAGGATATGCAGGGGATGAAATCCCATAGTTGGAGATCATTGAAGATATTATAGATATTATAGCACTTTTTAGCCAGTGTTATGGTTCATTATGGTATGAATATTCTGAATGTTCATGTTATGATGTTAAGATGGATGGGTAGGATAAAATCCTGAGGTTAGAGCTGCAGAGGGTGTGTAGGTACAAGTTGCTTTTGTTTTTGGAATGATGAGTATGGTTGGGATGGTTGGGTCATGAATGTCATGATGTGTATATATATATATATATGATCGCGATGTAGGTGGATCTTGTTGGACTTAGATACCAAACATAGCAGTCTATGGATGATAGATATGATATCAAGAAATCAACCCCAGATAAAATCCACGGGTCTGAGATTGTATGGTCCAAAAGGTTCCTCATTTCCAAGGTCAGATAAGGTTTGAGATGTAAAGATCCTAAAGATTATCAATATTTTGTAAAACAAACATGACAGTCTATGGGATATCAAAAATGATAGATCATATAGATATGATATTAAGAAATCGACCCCAGATAAAATCCATGAGCCTGAGATTGTATGGTCCAAAAGGTTCCCCATTTCCAAGGTCAGAAAAGTTTTGGGATATAAAGATCCTAAAAATTAAACATTTTACATATCAAGATAACAGTCTATAGGATATCAATGATGATAGATTGGATGTCAAGAAATCAACACCAGATAAAATCCACGAGTCTGAGATTATATGGTCCAAAAAGTTCCCCATTTCCAAGGTTATATAAGGTTTGGGATGTAAAGATTGTAAAGAATGTAAAGATTTGTCCCCCATTTGTACCAATTACATTCTATAGTTTTGCGGAAGTGATTTGAAGAAACAAATCTGGGTTCGTGAAAACAGATGCGCAGGGTTGAAATCCCAAGGTCTAAGTTTTTTCTTCTCGGATGTTTCAGCAAGTGCTTGCCTAGGCCGTTCCAGGAAAAAAAAATAATTTTTGAATCATTCTGAATCTGCGGCTTTTGGAAGATTTGGATGAGCTGGGAAACTTCTTTTTTTTCGATGAGCATATCCAAGCATCGTGAAGATCATTGTGGATCATAACCTGCAAAGACCTCCCATTTTTCAAAAATTGACTCGGCCGAATAGACCTTAAACCCTTGGATTTTATCTGCCTGATATCTCTCTACAAACCAAGTGGGGTGGTATGAATTCTTGGGCTTGAGCCCAAATTTTAGCCTATGCAGGACCTCCTGCCCAAATTTTATCCAGCCTTGTTTTTGGGGTAGGTTCGGAGTTTTAGCTGGCTAAAATCGAGGCATGAGACTAAAAGGCACAAGCAACGGGGATTTAAGACTTAAAGATCTTAAAGACTTAAAGACGTCATAAGATTCACAAGCGAATTGCACTCTGTTCTCGATCGTTGTTGCCATGCGGCCATATATACCAATCTTCCAAGACAAGAAAGCAGGTGAATGATCGGCCTCGCAGCTTTGCCTAGCTGATCGTTCAGGCTATCATTGAAGAAACGGAAGAAACTACCATAGGAAAAGAAGAGCTTGAGAGCGAAGAAGGGAAAGAAGAGGACAAGCTTCCAGAGTACACGAGAATCACAAACTTTGCCCATTGCGTAAATGAGGGGCGATCAGGGGCTGCTTACTGTTGAACACTTGGGGACAAATACATATTATATAATATTATATATGCATATTGGATATTCGTACTGTAGATCACAAGCAAAGCCGAACACACCCAAGTCTTTGAATCATCAGTTTGGGACCTTTCGGATCCTTTCGGGACCTTTATGTTTGAATAGAGCCTTCTTATGTAGTAATGTAGTGCTATAGTCATTTTACATGGCTTTGATAAAACATGATGAAACAAACTGAAACGGGATAGAAGAACTAAACAGACTCTCGACACTTTTGATGCACGCGGCTACGGCTAAAAACATCTAAAAACACTTTGTCAATCAAACTTTTCCCCAGTTGTTCGTGGCCCTGATTCTATAACAATTTTCATTTCGATATTTGTTGCTGTATGTTACATTATGTTACTGTACCGCTGCATCCGTCATATTCCGTCATTTGTACTAAAGCACTTTCCTGGTTGGTGTTGGTTTGATTCACATGTTTTCTCCTTGGGCAAATAGCGGGCGATTTGCCCAGTCTATATAAATCTGTATCGGTGTGAAGGAGCCGAAACCTCCAAAGGTCCACCTCAAAGAGGCACCGAGAATGGAAAGAGATGGAGAGGGAAGATGAACCCTACTGGCTTCAACGAAAAAGCATGTAAAAGCGAGAAACGTGGCATATACACATTATATACATAACATTTGTTGATATCTAATATCTACATGGTTCATCATGATTCTACATGTCCATGTCCCTATGTTGCACGAATGTTGCAAGTCCTTTGGTTCTCTCATATTCACTCCGCTGGAACTGTTCCGTCGGGCTGCGCTGCTGGCGCGTGAAGTCAGTTAAAGTCCAGATTGTTGTGCAAACTTGCTCCCATGGTAAATTGATATAGTCACGATATGTCACGATCATCACTTCCGAAGCAACCTGTCGCAGGGCCGTAGCTGAGTTGGGTCCTGGGAGTCCTGGGGCATCCCACATCATGTCCCACCTTCCATGCTTTCATCGCCATGTGACACCCCAGTGGGGCACAGAATGGCATGTATGGATGGCATGTATGGAACTTTACTATCAGCAGGATGGCATGTATGGATATGTATGAATGTTCATTGAGCATATGTTGCATTGAACAGAAGGGTCAAATCACCATTGGGATATGTGAACAGCTGCTGGCAGGCCGGCCCTGCAGAATTGGAGGCGGAGGATTTGGATGAAGCTCTTGCTGATGCACGGGTGCTCAGAAACTGGGGCGAGGCTGCAGTGGAACAAGTGGACAAGTACCAAAGTTGCTGAGCTTGAATGGTCGCCACGCGCACAATGTCACCATATGTCAGTCACCAACCATAATGTCAGTCACCACCCTCTGAGGTGAGTGAGGAAAAGCAGAGGAGGAAGAAACGAAGCAAGGATCGCAAGAATCAGGTGCCAGGTCATGTTGACTTATTGACTCCATCACTACTCGCAAATCAACAGCATCAGCTGAGAATCAGGCAAAAGACGAGCCAGAGAGCAAAGAAGGGGAAGAAGAGGACCCAGTTCTGGGATCGCAAGTTCGTCAAGTGAAGGGCATCTTTTTTCGCCCAGCCAGAAGCACTTGGACCCCGCACTAGGGGACCCTACTCTCCTTGGGCAATTCCAGACCGCGCCAATGCGCGCGAAACATTTGCTGGGTACAGAAATGGAAGAGATTGGTTGCGCATGGGAAGCACAAAAAGACTTGGGGATGAATTCATGCAATCATTGCAACCATGTTGTTGGTCTCATGGTCTCATGGATAGTTTAAAGGAACATTGGAATCTCAAACAAATGCCATCAACAGTGCCGGAATAGAACTGTGTGGCGGCTCTTTATTGGTTGTGGCCAAAAAAGGGACACCTGGAGACTGTTTTCCTTCCGGGGGGGCCATGTCAGGAGAGACGGTGAAATGGCAGATGTCAGGAAAATGGACACGAAATGGCAGAAAACCCATGAAAACTGACATGTCTACACTGTCTACACTACACTGTCTACACTTTTATGATCATGCTTTGGACATTCCGAAAGGACGGGCGAAAATCACTTTCCCAATGACTGCCTCGACCGTATGCACAATCGCTGACTGCTGACTTCCTTCAAAATCGGTAGTCCCATGAGGATGCGAGCACAGCAAAACATGTTCAGAACATGTCAATATTAATTACATGTTCGAAGGAAGTTTAGAAGTCAAACTTCCGACAATATGGACAGATGAAAAGCAGAGCAGGGCAGAGGCAGAGAGAAGAGAAAGATTAGAAGAGAGAAGATCAGAGAAGAGAAAGAGTCAGAAGAAAGAAGATGCAGATGCGCGAAAAGGTAGGAAAGTCGCGAAACACTGTGTTTTTCCAATGATTTGTGGCTCCGGAGGGTCGAATAGACGCGAGATGAAAAATTGCACGCCGTTGTGGCGCGAAGCACATTTCGAAGTCAAAATGTACAAGACACACCATTCTCGGACCACTTTTGGAGGTTCAGATGTCGAAAAAGTGTCTGCCGTTGTGGCGCGAAGCACATTTCGAAGTCAAAATGTACAAAACACACCATTGTCGGACAACGTTGGGATGTCGAAAAAGTGTCTGCCGTTGTGGCACGAAGCACATTTCCAAGTCAAAATGTACAAAACACGTCAGCGTCGGACCACTTTTGGAAGTTGAAAAGTTGAAAAAGTGCACGCTGTTGTGGCGCGAAGCACATTTCGAAGTCAAAATGTACAAAACACCACATGTGCGCGCCACTTTTGGAGGTTCAGATGTCGAAAAAGTGCACGCGGTTGTGGCGCGAAGCACATTTCGAAGTCAAAATGTTAAAAAAACAAGGGTTTCGGACCACTCTTGGAGGTTCAGATGTCGCTTCGCTTCACTACACTACACTACATTACACTACACTCCACTACACTGCACTGCACTACACTACACTACATTACACAACACTACAACTACACAACTACACTCCACTACACTCCACTACACTCCACGACACTCCACTACACTACACTCCACTACACCCCACTACACTCCACTACACTAAATTTTAAATCACACTACACTACACTACATTACACTACACTACACCCCACTCCACTACACTACATTAGACTACACTACACTACCTTCCACTACACTTCACAACATTACACTACACTACACTCCACTACACTACAACTACAACTACACAACTACACTCCACTACAATACACTCCACTACACTAAATTGCACTACATTACACTACATTACACTACACTACACTCCACTACACTACATTACACTACACTACCTTCCACTACACTTCACTACATTACACTACACTACACTCCACTACAACTACAACTACGAATGCACAACTACACTCCACTACACTCCACTACACTAAATTACACTACACCACACTACATTACACTACACTACACTACATTCCACTACACTCCACTACACTACACTACATTACAGTACACTACATTGCACTGAATGACACTGCAGCACAGATAGACGGGTCGACAGATAGACAGATAGATAGATGGATGGATGGATGGATGGATGGATGCATCGAAGTGCTCAACAATCGATTCTTCCCCAACTCGGCGGTGGAATGTCGAGCTTGATGCACTTGCCGTTGACCGTTCAGACCGGTCGACCGCCGCTGCAAACAGCTCTAGGTGCACTCCTTTCAATCGCTTCAACAAAGCTTCCGACAGAATGCCAGTCTGGTAAAAGACTAAGGCTTGCACTGCCCCTGGAGCGCCGCGGTAACGTTCATACCGCCCTTCAGGTCCCAAATTGACCGAATACGATGAACAACTTGAACGAGGAATGCCAAACTCATAAACAGTTGACACAAGGTCCAATCTTCAAGTTGCCTCTGGATAGACCTCACATCGGCCGATTCCTCCGATGGGCCCTTTTCAAATTGCAATTCCAAGCTTTTTTCTGCATTATGCAACTGCCCCCTTCGCAACTTGCTGGCCGTTTCCAAGATCTCTTATTCTCCTCTGCCACTGGCGACTTTGACCGTGGTCTCTCTCTATCCTCTGCTGGTGACCTCGGCCGTGCCTCTACTCGCCCGACCGGAAGCGGTCCATGTCTTCCAGGTGGCCTATTGTTTTCTCTTAGGTGTGTAAATAACTTTTAAATCTTAAACAAACATGTCTGCGTGGTTGGATGCTATTCAGGCTACGTGATTTGGAATCAAGGAATGCGAATGGTGTTATATGGTTGGTTCCCCCCTCACTATAGCAGTTTTGTGAAGTTGACTGAAATTTCCCTGACTTACACTGCAACACAACCACGGCGTTTGAGAGATGAAAGAGAGAGAGAGAGACAGATAGATAGATAGATAGATAGATAGATAGATAGATAGATAGATAGATAGATAGATAGATAGATAGATAGATAGATAGATAGATAGATAGATTCATAGATAGATAGATAGATAGATCGATGGATGGATGGATGGATGGATAGATAGATGGATGGATGGATAGAAAGAAAGAAAGAAAAAAAGATAGATAGATAGATAGATAGGTAGATAGATAGATAGATAGATAGATACTTAGATGAAAGAAAGAGAGAGAGAGAGAGATAGACAGACAGACAGACAGACAGATAGATAGATAGATAGATAGGTAGATAGATAGATAGATAGGTAGATAGATAGATAGATTGGTAGGTGGGTAGATAGTCAGAGAAAGAGAGAGAAAGAGAGGAGACCTCAAGCACCTTTCGGTCCATCAGTGGATTCGCTCTGCCAACCCTGATTCACAACAACCAATCTCTCCTATAGGTTTCATATTTTTGAAACTTCCGCCACCGCCTTTTGCGGTACTACTGGTAATTACTTTTAATTGCATTTAATTGTCTCACTGGCGTGTTCCCATTCGTCAACTGTCCAAGGAGCCAAAGCCTCCGAAGGTGGACCCAAAAGAGGCACCAAGGGCGAACTTCGCAGAACTCTGCCATGGAGCAGATAAGGAAGCATGACATACTCGTAGCATAGCCATTCTGGATGTGTGAACAAATGTGAGCAAGACATGTAGAGAAATGGGGAGAAATGGGACATCATGTTGGGCAAAACATCATTGGGTGCACCTTTTTGACTGGAAAATTGGAAGGATCCCAGGCGAAAGCCTGCGCATCCCAGAATGTCACAGCATGACACCACCCCCTTGTAGTGTGTGGGGACTATGAATAGCAGTAGCACAAGTCATTGAACCTGCTCAGATGTCAGAAAGGCCACAAACGTGTAAGTGTAACGGACCACTTTCATATCCCTGGCAGATTAAGCGGGGATGGTGTTGGACCAAAGATGGGTGCACGGAGTGCTGAACCAAGACGTGGCAAAATGCGAGTGTTGCATAGTGTTGCAATGTGCAAAGTTAGCCACCGAGAATCTTCTACTGTAATTGAACTTGGGGCTTGGTGCCATCATGGGCCATCCAAACTTGCCTTGATTTCCAATCTGTCACGCATTTTGAACCCCAGCCCTGGAAGTTTCTTGAGAAACACCTGCTGGCAGGCCGGCGATGTGGAAGTGGAGGCGGAGGATTTGGATGAAGCTCTTGCTGATGCACGGGCGCTCAGAACCTGAGGGCAGTGGAACGCCGCGGCACTACTGACAAGTGCCGGGGTTGCTGTGCTTGAATGGCCGCCGGGCGCACAATGCCACCATATGTATCAAATTGTATCAATATGTCACCATACTTGTATGTCACCATCCCTCTGAGGTGAGTGAGGAAAAGCAGAGGAAGAAGAAACGAAGCAAGGATCGCAAGAATCAGGTGCCAGGTCATGTCAACTTGTTGTACTTATTGGCCCCTTCACTCCTGCAACCCTGGGAGCATCATCTACACCCACACCAAGCTCTTGATTGCCTTTGGGCTCCAAAACTATTTCAGACATATTCAGACATCTCACGCGGATCACACGACTTTGCGGCCATGCCATGCAAATTCTCGGCCATTCCTGGCTTAACAGAACTGATGCCAATTGATTTTTGAGCATATCTGAACTGCAAGTGGCGATATGGAAGAAAGAACTGTTCCATGAAGAGTTCGCCATTGATGAACTTCAGAGTTTGTCCCAGCAAGCTGACGAGCAAAATCAGGCCATTTCCATCTCGATCCTCCTTTATTTTTGGAGCCAGACAATTGCTGAACCATCGGCTTCGCCCCATCTCCACTTGGCTGGTCGACCAGGCCAGAAGTGAAGAAACGGAAACAGCCAAGAAGGGCACCGAAGAGCCTGAGAAAGACGAGGACGCGGTGGGATAAGCAACCAAGAATGTCATAGCAAAAGCATGCAAAAGCTGTGGGTGTGTCTCATGGGCGGTTTTAGCATGTTTTAGCGAAGTATTTGTTCTGCACCTATGCTATCCTGCTACCTTCCTATCGTCACCGCAGCTCCCATCATTCTGCACCAATTCCGAGATGTTGCTGAAGTTGCATTCCTTGTTCTTCCTTTGTGGGATTGCTATGGATTGCTGTGTTCTGTGGGCGCCTAAGTAAATCGAAGTCTTCCGATCCCTGGAAGCGACGTGATTTGTGGTGTCAGAAATGCATAGAAATGCCACAGACGCGCAACGGACCACTTTCATATCCCTGGCAGATTAAGCGGGGATGGTGTTGGACCAAAGATGGGTGCACGGAGTGCTGAACCAAGACATGGCGAAATGCGAGTGTTGCATAGTGTTGCAATGTACAAAGTTAGCCACCGAGAATCTTCTACTGTAATTGAGCTTGGGGCTTGGTGCCATCATGGGCCATCCAAACTTGCCTTGATTTCAATCTGTCACGCATTTTGAACCCCAGCCCTGGAAGTTTCTTGAGAAACACCTGCTGGCAGGCCGGCGATGTGGAAGTGGAGGCGGAGGATTTGGATGAAGCTCTTGCTGATGCACGGGCGCTCAGAACCTGAGGGCAGTGGAATGCCGCGGCACTACTGACAAGTTCCGGGGTTGCTGTGCTTGAATGGCCGCCGGGCGCACAATGCCACCATATGTATCAAATTGTATCAATATGTCACCATACTTGTATGTCACCATCCCTCTGAGGTGAGTGAGGAAAAGCAGAGGAAGAAGAAACGAAGCAAGGATCGCAAGAATCAGGTGCCAGGTCATGTCAACTTGTTGTACTTATTGGCCCCTTCACTCCTGCAACCCTGGGAGCATCATCTACACCCACACCAAGCTCTTGATTGCCTTTGGCAAAGTCAACATATGGCAAGATTAAGTTGATGAAATCAGATTAAGATAGATAGATTAAGATTAAGTAAGTATGATTAAGTCATCAGGTCATCTCGGGGTTTTGCAGGTAGACATGTTAATGAATCTATTGGCTCTGCAAGCGATCCGACCATATCTGACCTGAAGAAACCCAAGCGGAGAATCAGGCAAGAGACGAGCCACAGAGCAAACAAGATAAACAAGGGGAAGAAGAGGACCTAGTTCCGGCATTGCAAAGTCGCCAATCGCGGGCATCATTTCTTGCCTACCAGGGATGATGACCGGGATGACCGACAATGATGAAATTTTCGGTATGTACACTGCGTGTAATGTTCATGACTACACACACCCACACAATCCCACACATATAATTACATACATACACACATACTGCAACATGTTTTCATATTATTCTCTTTTGTGGTTAGACTGCCAGCGAGCCATTGCGCTTAGTTTGTTTTGTGGGTTGAGGTCAAACTTTTTGAAGTACTCTGCATCAAACCAGAAATTTGCATAAATTTGCCATGTAGCTGGGGGTTTTGAGACGCTGGTGTGAAGATGGGAACATATATTAGAGCCCATGCGGAATTTACACACGTATCACACGGCCAGACATGGTCATTTGATGTCATTTTCATTTCATTTTTGTTATTTCCGGACCTCATCTTGTCAGTTACCAATGGTTTGTCGGGCCAATCTGCGTCCTCGTTGTTGGTTGCAAGGAGCTGGACCCTCCAAAGGTAGATGGACCAGAGGTGCCGCAGCAACTGCGGCAGAGGGAAGATGACACACCTTGGGTCTGTAGAACGAACACTGGCGACATGTGGTGACTCTTATGAAAGAAATGAAAGAACGAGAAAGGACATGTTGATATATGTTGATTTTGACAAGGGCAGGCGGATTGGAGCAACGAATGAGGGATTTGAAGTGAAAAGAACAACGAATGACAATATCTTGTTGGGAGAGCCTATATTGATACTATATTGCGCATAGAATGCGCTTTAAGAAACACTTGGGTACAATTGGCATAATTGGCCCTTCTGCTTGCAATAGTAGAATTTGGTTGCGGTGTAACCTATAGGTGGGTGACATGTTCTCTCTATATCACATGAGGCCCACGACCTGACTTCGCAATTGCAAAGCTGCCCACAGATGCCGACAGCGATTCACGCATCACAATCACAACTTTCCCATTTCTGCGCCAATTCCAAGATGTTGCCTAAGTTGCATACCTTCTTCCTTTATGAAATTCCAGAATTGCAAACCAAGAAGAAGAAAACCCTTCAGGTGATCCATGACACAACAAATTGAATGGGGGGATCAGATAACCGGACAATTCTAACGAATCACGTGGATTGTTGTGCTGTACGTATACGCATCATATGGTCCGTACGCGTCAATCTCATTGAATTTCTCCTTTTGATTTCACACATTTCGTTTCTTTCGCCGTGAAACACCAATTGAGCAGCAATTTTTCAAACATGAAAGGACTGATACAACACTTGCATTGCATTTGCTGCGCTTAGCTTTTACTGAAACTAGGCAGCGTAGGCCTTGTTTAGGAGTGACACGGACGACACACACACACACAATGCAAATGGCTCAGACAGCGAAAACAACAATGCTCAACTGACAGGCTGGCTCTGCAGAAGAGGCAGAAGATGTGGACGCTGATGCGGGCGCGCTCAGAGGAAGAGTAACTGACTGAAAGATCTGAGAGTGGGGCAGGCCCAATAACGAAAAAAATGCACGCGAAACAGGCTCCAATGTCTCTGTCCTGGTACACGTCTAGGTCCCGGTACAAGTTTCGGTAAAGGGGCAGTAGCCAGCAAACGAGGTGCCAAGTTGAGCAGTCCGAAAGTTGCATTTCATTTGAGGCGAACAAGGAAAAACGAAGGAAGAAAAAGCGAACCAAAGAGCGCAAGAACCAGGTGCCAGATGGTGTCAGTACGTGTCAATCATTTCAGCCCCAAAATAATCATGAATTCACGGATGTTCATAGTGCCATTTGAGTAGTACGGCATAGCTCGTTAATTCACTCAATCCTTTAACATTGCCAATTTCTTTAGGAAGCAAAAGGAAGTAGATCACGAAGCTATCCTTGTGCTACGCTCCATGAATCAATGCTGAGTCCATGGTGCTATTCAGGAAAAATCCAGTGGTGCGATTTGCAGTGGCCATGGCGATGTACAGAGACGTGGTGTACGGGAAGAAACCTAAACAACAAAACAATTCACCATTCAGGTGAAAAATGTGTATCAGTGTGCATCATTGTGCAATAAATAGATTTTTATTAATATTGTGTGTGCGTTTTTATTTGCATAGACATGCATAGACTATGTCCGTGCAATATCTGAAGAGTAGAACTGATCAGGTTCTTCAACAGGATTTCAAAGCAAGAAGGTGAACGATCAGTTCTGCTGATTCAGGCCAAAGCAGACGATGAGGAAAAGGATGAGCCTGCGAGCGAAGAAGACAAAGAAGAGGACATGGGTCCCGGATACTAGTAACAAAGTCGTCAATATTTAGGCATGCGGCATGTTATCACCCAGAAGCATGAGGGGGTAAGAAGCCAATCATCACAATAATATACAATAGTAGCCAATAGATGTCAATATTATCAATAGTGCAGGTGTACAGATAGGTAGTAAATGTACGGGCAGACACCTCGATTTGCCCGCGCTTGTCGGCGGCCATCTTCGTATGTGTTGAAAACGTGGTAAAAATGGGAGTTTTTTGCATCATGGCTAACTTTATGTTGTAATGTATATCGGCACGCACAGCATAGGGACCTGTGCGAGTCTCTTACACATCATCATCATCATCATCATCATCATCATCATCAAACCCTTATTGAAGATCTTCAATGAATGTAGAAGTTTAACGGGGGTGGGAGAATTAAACCCCTATTGAAGATCTTCAATGAATGTAGAAGTTTAACGGGGGTGGGAGAATTAAACCCTTATTGAAGATCTTCAATGAACGTAGAATTTTTAACGGGGGTGGGAGAAATAAACCCTTATTGAAGATCTTCAATGAATGTAAAGTGTAACGGGGGTGGGAAATTTATATTCCCTAAATACCCTTGTTGATCTTCCCAATTGAATGATATTGAATGATATTGAATGTAAAGTCTAACGTTTGATATCCCCAAGTGTACAGCATAGAAGGGGGTGTGGGCGAATCGGGATGTTTGCGCGTAAATGTAGTCTAATGTGTATATTATATATATAGTATAGATATGTATAGATACGTACAGATAACGTAGATGGATGATGATGCGTGTCCCATTTTTGCAGGTGAAATCCCAAGTTTGTTGGTTTGGTTAATTTTATTGACTTTCTATGACTTTCTCATACTTGTTTATTCTTGCACAATGTGCATGCCCGTCCTCGTTTGAGAATCATGTTAATTTTCCGAAATTTCTTTTGTTTCTTGCATTGTTTTGGTCTAAAATAGCATAACATAGCAATTGACAGGCTGGCTCTGCAGAAGAGGCAGAAGATGTGGACGCTGATGCGGGCGCGCTCAGAGGAAGAGTAACTGACTGAAAGATCTGAGAGTGGGGCAGGCCCAATAACGAAAAAAATGCACACGAAACAGGCTCCAATGTCTCTGTCCTGGTACACGTCTAGGTCCCGGTACAAGTTTCGGTAAAAGGGCAGTAGCCAGCAAACGAGGTGCCAAGTTGAGCAGTCCGAAAGTTGCATCTCATCTGAGGCGAACAAGGAAAAACGAAGGAGGAAAAAGCGAACCAAAGAGCGCAAGAACCAGGTGCCAGATGGTGTCAGTACGTGTCAATCATTTCAGCCCCAAAATAATCATGAACTCACGGATGTTCATAGTGCCATTTGAGTAGTACGGCATAGCTCGTTAATTCACTCAATCCTTTAACATTGCCAATTTTTTTAGGAAGCAAAAGGAAGTAGATCACGGAGCTATCCTTGTGCTACGCTCCATGAATCAATGCTGAGTCCATGGTGCTATTCAGGAAAAATCCAGTGGTGCGATTTGCAGTGGCCATGACGATGTACAGAGACGTGGTGTACGGGAAGAAACCTAAACAACAAAACAATTCACCATTCAGGTGAAACATGTGTATCAGTGTGTATCATTGTGCAATATATAGATTTTTATTAATATAATCTATTTTAAAGTTATACATATAATATATATATATATATGTGTGTGTTTTTTGAGTACACACATATATACGTATTGAATATCACATATTACCAGTAGTACAGCACAAGGTGGTGGCGGAAGTTTCAAAAATAGGAAACCTATAGGAGAGCTTGGTTGTTGTGAATCCGGGATGGCAGAGCGAAGCCACTGATGGACCGAAAGGTGATTGATGTCTCCTCTTTTTCTCTCTCTCTCTCTCTATCTTTCTCTGATTATCTACCTACCTACCTACTGATCTATCTGTCTATCTATCTATTTATCTCTCTGTCTATCTATCTCCCTATCTATCTATCTATCTATCTATCTATCTATCTATCTATCTATCTATCTATCTATCTATCTATCTAGCTGTCTAGTTTTCTAACTATTTGTCTATCTATCTATCTATCCATCTATCTATCTATCTATCTCTCTCTCTCTCTGTCTCTCTCTCTCTCTGTCTATCTATCTATCTATCTATCTATCCATCTATCTCTCTATCTATATCTCTCTGTCTCTCTCTCTCTCTCTATCTATCTATCTATCTATCTACCTACCTGTCTATCTACCTGTCTATCTGCAAGCTTGAAAACCGAACTATTCTGCGAGACTTCTTCATTTTTCAAAGTTGACAACATCAAAAACGAAGCAATTCTGCGAGACTTCTTCATTTTTCAATGTTGACGACAGCCAAAACGAAGCAATTCTGCGAGACCTCCTCAATTTTTGAACTTGAGAACATCCAAAACGAAGCAATTCTGCGAGACTTCTTCAATTTTTAAACTTGACAACATGAAAAACGAAACAATTCTGCGAGACTTCCTTCAAAAATGGAAAGTTGAGTGCAGCGCTGACGGCCTCGTACCAATGCGTTGTGCGATTTTCCACTCCACCTGTCGAAAGTATTGCGCCTGCCACGAAAAATCAATGCCAGGTCATACGAAGTGCTGCACCTGTCACACGCAAAATCATCTTGGGAAATCGACATATCTGATGCTCCAAAATGCAACCCCTCTCAGGAAATCAGCGCCCTGACCTCCTAACATCTCTGATGAACATGTCTCTTGTATTGCGCCTGCCACGCGAAATGCATCTTTGCAGATCCTCTTCAAACGTCCCACGCCTGCCATCGTTTTTGGAAATGCTACAAAACCCTCACGTTTTGCTCACCTTTGACACCGTGCACAATCCCTTGCGCCTGCCACGCGAAACGAGATCTGAACGCCCAAAAGTGGTCCAAACCCCTAGTGCTTTTAACATTTTGACTTGGAAATGTGCTTCGCGCCACAACGGCGTGCACTTTTTCGACATCTCAAGTGCCAAAAGTGGTCCGCACCCCTAGTGTTTTTAACATTTTGACTTGGAAATGTGCTTCGCGCCACAACGGCGTGCACTTTTTCGACATCTCAACTTCCAAAAGTGGTCCGGAGCTGAGGTGTTTTGCACATTTTGACTTGGAAATGTGCTTCGCGCCACAACGGCGTGCAATTTTTCATCTCTCATCTGGCCAGCTGGCTCCGCACCCGCCGCTTTAGCGAGCCTACTTTTCGACCCTCAGGAGCCATAAATCATTGGAAAAACACAGTGTTTCGCGACTTTCCTACCTTTTCGCGCATCTCCATCTTCTTTCTTCTTACTCTTTCTCTTCTCTGATCTTCTCTCTTCTGAGCTTTCTCTTCTCTCTGCCTCTGCCCTGCTCTGCTTTTCATCTGTCCATATTGTCGGAAGTTTGGCTCCTAAACTTCATTCGAATATAAACTATGTCCGTGCAATATCTGAGGAGTAGAACTGATCAGGTTCTTCAACAGGATGTCAAAGCAAGAATGTGAACGATCAGTTCTGCTGATTCAGGCCAAAGCAGACGATGAGGAAAAGGATGAGCCTGCGAGCGGAGAAGACAAAGAAGAGGACATGGGTCCCGGATACTAGTAACAAAGTCGTCAATATTTAGGCATGCGGCATGCGGCATGTTATCACCCAGAAGATCCAGAAGCATGAGGGGGTAAGAAGCCAATCATCACAATAATATACAATAGTAGCCAATAGATGCCAATATTATCAATAGTACAGGTGTACAGATAGGTAGTAAATGTAGTCTAATGTGTATATTATATATATATAGTATAGATATGTATAGATACGTACAGATAACGTAGATGGATGATGATGCGTGTCCCATTTTTGCAGGTGAAATCCCAAGTTTGTTGGTTTGGTTAATTTTATTGACTTTCTATGACTTTCTCATACTTGTTTATTCTTGCACAATGTGCATGCCCGTCCTCATTTGAGAATCATGTTAATTTTCCGAAATTTCTTTTGTTTCTTGCATTGTTTTGGTCTAAAATAGCATAACATAGCAATTGACAGGCTGGCTCTGCAGAAGAGGCAGAAGATGTGGACGCTGATGCGGGCGCGCTCAGAGGAAGAGTAACTGACTGAAAGATCTGAGAGTGGGGCAGGCCCAATAACGAAAAAAATGCACACGAAACAGGCTCCAATGTCTCTGTCCTGGTACACGTCTAGGTCCCGGTACAAGTTTCGGTAAAAGGGCAGTAGCCAGCAAACGAGGTGCCAAGTTAAGCAGTCCGAAAGTTGCATCTCATCTGAGGCGAACAAGGAAAAACGAAGGAGGAAAAAGCGAACCAAAGAGCGGAAGAACCAGGTGCCAGATGGTGTCAGTCAGTATGTGTCAATCATTTCAGCCCCAAAATAATCATGAATTCACGGATGTTCTAGTGCCATTTGAGTAGTACGGTATAGCCCGGTATAGCTCGTTAATTCACTCAATCCTTTAACATTGCCATTTTTTTTTAGGAAGCAAAAGGAAGTAGATCACGAAGCTATCCTTGTGCTACGCTCCATGAATCAATGCTGAGTCCATGGTGCTATTCAGGAAAAATCCAGTGGTGCAATTTGCAGTGGCCATGGCGATGTACAGAGACGTGGTGTACGGGAAGAAACCTAATCAACAAAACAATTCACCATTCAGGCGAAACACGTGTCTCAGTGTGTATCATTGTGCAATATATAGATTTTTTTTTAAATATAATATAATAATATATTATAAAATTGTTAATATATATATATATATATATTTATATGTATACACATAGCACACACACATATATATAATACATATTAAATATCACATATCATGTTATATATAAATTATATAATATATATCTCTCCGTGTGCGCGTTTCTATTTGCATAGAGATGCATAGACTATGTCCGTGCAGTATCTGAAGAGTAGAAGTGATCAGGTTCTTTAACAGGATTTCAAAGCAAGAAGGTGAACGATCAGTTCTGCTGATTCAGGCCAAAGCAGACGATGAGGAAAAGGATGAGCCTGCGAGCGAAGAAGACAAAGAAGAGGACATGGGTCCCGGATACTAGTAACAAAGTCGTCAATATTTAGGCATGCGGCATGCGGCATGTTATTACCCAGAAGCATGAGGGGGTAAGAAGCCAATCATCACAACAATATACAATAGTAGCCAATAGATGCCAATATTATCAATAGCACAGGTGTACAGATAGGTAGTAAATGTAGTATAATGTATATATATATATATAGATAGATAGTATAGATACGTACAGATAACGTAGATGGATGATGATGCGTGTCCCATTTTGCAGGTGAAATCCCAAGTTTGTTGGTTTGGTTAATTTTATTGACTTTCTATGACTTTCTCATACTTGTTTATTCTTGCACAATGTGCATGCCCGTCCTCGTTTGAGAATCATGTTAATTTTCCGAAATTTCTTTTGTTTCTTGCATTGTTTTGGTCTAAAATAGCATAAAATAGCAATTGACAGGCTGGCTCTGCAGAAGAGGCAGAAGATGTGGACGCTGATGCGGGCGCGCTCAGAGGAAGAGTAACTGACTGAAAGATCTGAGAGTGGGGCAGGCCCAATAACGAAAAAAATGCACACGAAACAGGCTCCAATGTCTCTGTCCTGGTACACGTCTAGGTCCCGGTACAAGTTTCGGTAAAAGGGCAGTAGCCAGCAAACGAGGTGCCAAGTTAAGCAGTCCGAAAGTTGCATCTCATCTGAGGCGAACAAGGAAAAACGAAGGAGGAAAAAGCGAACCAAAGAGCGCAAGAACCAGGTGCCAGATGGTGTCAGTCAGTATGTGTCAATCATTTCAGCCCCAAAATAATCATGAATTCACGGATGTTCTAGTGCCATTTGAGTAGTACGGTATAGCCCGGTATAGCTCGTTAATTCACTCAATCCTTTAACATTGCCAATTTTTTTAGGAAGCAAAAGGAAGTAGATCACGAAGCTATCCTTGTGCTACGCTCCATGAATCAATGCTGAGTCCATGGTGCTATTCAGGAAAAATCCAATGGTGCGATTTGCAGTGGCCATGGCGATGTACAGAGACGTGGTGTACGGGAAGAAACCTAATCAACAAAACAATTCACCATTCAGGCGAAACATGTGTATCAGTGTGTATCATTGTGCAATATATATATATATATCTAGATCTTTATTAATATAATATGTTATAAAATTGTATATATATATATACACATAGCACACACATATATATAATATACATATTAAATATCACATATCATATTATATGTAAATTATATAACATATATCTCTCTGTGTGTGCGTTTTTATTTGCATAGACATGCGTAGACTATGTCCGTGCAATATCTGAAGAGTAGACCTGATCAGGTTCTTTAACAGGATTTCAAAGCAAGAAGGTGAACGATCAGTTCTGCTGATTCAGGCCAAAGCAGACGATGAGGAAAAGGATGAGCCTGCGAGCGAAGAAGACAAAGAAGAGGACATGGGTCCCGGATACTAGTAACAAAGTCGTCAATATTTAGGCATGCGGCATGCGGCATGTTATTACCCAGAAGCATGAGGGGGTAAGAAGCCAATCATCACAACAATACACAATAGTAGCCAATAGATGCCAATATTATCAATAGCACAGGTGTACAGATAGGTAGTAAATGTAGTATAATGTATATATATATATAGATAGATAGATAGTATAGATATGTACAGATAACGTAGATGGATGATGATGCGTGTCCCATTTTTGCAGGTGAAATCCCAAGTTTGTTGGTTTATGACTTTCTCATACTTGTTTATTCTTGCACAATGTGCATGCCCGTCCTCATTTGAGAATCATGTTAATTTTCCGAAATTTCTTTTGTTTCTTGCATTGTTTTGGTCTAAAATAGCATAACATAGCAATTGACAGGCTGGCTCTGCAGAAGAGGCAGAAGATGTGGACGCTGATGCGGGCGCGCTCAGAGGAAGAGTAACTGACTGAAAGATCTGAGAGTGGGGCAGGCCCAATAACGAAAAAAATGCACACGAAACAGGCTCCAATGTCTCTGTCCTGGTACACGTCTAGGTCCTGGTACAAGTTTCGGTAAAAGGGCAGTAGCCAGCAAACGAGGTGCCAAGTTGAGCAGTCCGAAAGTTGCATCTCATCTGAGGCGAACAAGGAAAAACGAAGGAGGAAAAAGCGAACCAAAGAGCGCAAGAACCAGGTGCCAGATGGTGTCAGTACGTGTCAATCATTTCAGCCCCAAAATAATCATGAACTCACGGATGTTCATAGTGCCATTTGAGTAGTACGGCATAGCTCGTTAATTCACTCAATCCTTTAACATTGCCATTTTTTTTTAGGAAGCAAAAGGAAGTAGATCACGAAGCTATCCTTGTGCTACGCTCCATGAATCAATGCTGAGTCCATGGTGGATTTGCAGTGGGTACGGGAAGAAACCTAATCAACAAAACAATTCACCATTCAGGCGAAACATGTGTCTCAGTGTGTATCATTGTGCAATATTTAGATTTTTATTAACATTATATTATAAAATTATATATATATATACACATAGCACACACACATTTATATATATATATATGTATAATATACATATTAAATATCACATATCATGTTATATATAAATTATATAATATATATATCTCTGTGTGCGCGTTTCTATTTGCATAGAGATGCATAGACTATGTCCGTGCAGTATCTGAAGAGTAGAAGTGATCAGGTTCTTTAACAGGATTTCAAAGCAAGAAGGTGAACGATCAGTTCTGCTGATTCAGGCCAAAGCAGACGATGAGGAAAAGGATGAGCCTGCGAGCGAAGAAGACAAAGAAGAGGACATGGGTCCCGGATACTAGTAACAAAGTCGTCAATATTTAGGCATGCGGCATGCGGCATGTTATTACCCAGAAGCATGAGGGGGGAAGAAGCCAATCATCACAACAATATACAATAGTAGCCAATAGATGCCAATATTATCAATAGCACAGGTGTACAGATAGGTAGTAAATGTAGTATAATGTATATATATATAGATAGATAGTATAGATACGTACAGATAACGTAGATGGATGATGATGCGTGTCCCATTTTGCAGGTGAAATCCCAAGTTTGTTGGTTTGGTTAATTTTATTGACTTTCTATGACTTTCTCATACTTGTTTATTCTTGCACAATGTGCATGCCCGTCCTCATTTGAGAATCATGTTAATTTTCCGAAATTTCTTTTGTTTCTTGCATTGTTTTGGTCTAAAATAGCATAACATAGCAATTGACAGGCTGGCTCTCCAGAAGAGGAAGAAGATGTGGACGCTGATGCGGGCACGCTCAGAGGAAGAGTAACTGACTGAAAGATCTGAGACTGGGGCAGGCCCAATAACGAAAAAAATGCACACGAAACAGGCTCCAATGTCTCTGTCCTGGTACACGTCTAGGTCCCGGTACAAGTTTCGGTAAAAGGGCAGTAGCCAGCAAACGAGGTGCCAAGTTGAGCAGTCCGAAAGTTGCATCTCATCTGAGGCGAACAAGGAAAAACGAAGGAGGAAAAAGCGAACCAAAGAGCGCAAGAACCAGGTGCCAGATGGTGTCAGTACGTGTCAATCATTTCAGCCCCAAAATAATCATGAATTCATGGATGTTCATAGTGCCATTTGAGTAGTACGGCATAGCTCGTTAATTCACTCAATCCTTTAACATTGCCTAAATTTTGGATCCAGAAGTTGTTCCTGTCCTGTGCCACGCTCCATTAACGTTGGATCACCGTTGCATCCAAGCTGCCATTCTTGGAAGATCTTGGAAGAAGAATCGTGCGATTTGAAGTGAACATGACGGTGTGCAGATATGCAGTGTACCAGAAAAACATGTCAAAAAATCACTGAATGTACATACAGATCACATAGGGTCATAGAGTTTGTCCGTGCCATGAAGAGTAGAATTGATCAGGTTCTTCAACAGAATTTCAAAGCAAAAAAAGTTGGTAAAGGTTCAGTTTCGCCGCAGCTCTCAGGCCAAAGCAGATGAGGAAAAGGATGAGCCTGCGAGCGAAGACGAAGAGGATGCTGGTAAGCAAAATTATGAATCATGATCATATTGATCATGTATGCCGCAGATACTCAGAGAATGCGGCTACCAGGTGGCAAATCAAAGTACTTTCTCGCGCGTAAAACATTTTGAAACATGTGACAGCTGAAATGTCGAAGGAGAGAAGAACGAAACACAAGGACAAGCACAAGGAGGACAGCCTTTCTGCGGATGAGTTGGATGCCAACCCTGACAAAAAGAAAAGAAGACGAAAAAGGACCAGCTCAAGAAAAAGGCATGACTAGCATATTGCGACGCCGAGCTGGAAAAATGGTTGCAGCGGCTTTTGAGTGCTGGGAGAAAGAAGAGAGAGAGAGAGAGAGAGCCCAGGGACGGGTTGTGAGCCTAAGTAGCTGATACTTTCAGGTGGGCAAGATCCACAATCACACTACTTGTTCCAGTATTTTTTACTGTTTGCATTGCTTATTTCATTTCATTTGGGTAGCCTTCCAGTGTTTTGCATCCACATTTCTCAACTTCTCCCTGATTTATGGAGGTTGCTGACCAAGAGTGGTTACTTTTTCAGTTGCTTCCAGCGTGGACAGTGCTTCGGAGATGTCCACCTGGGTATCTACTGTACTGTATGTGGTATAAATATGTATAAATATAGTATATTATTACATTGCATTTGCATGTGTTTGAACGTGTATTCAATACATTTCAATACGGCATCTAGACTTGCAAATATGTTTGCACATTATACAGATGTAGGAGATGTAAGGCAAACAGTTGGAAGCCCGGCAAAACATACAAGTATTTGTTTGGCTGAACATGCAGCATTGGCCCAGGCTACATCTAGCTACAGTTTGCAGGTGAGTGAGCCCAAAGTCGGTCACATGTCTACAGCTGGCTCACAGACAGACAGACAGACAGACAGACACACACACACACATTCACATACGCAGAATACATCAGAATACATACGCAGGTGCGCTTAAAATATCAACCCGCAATTTTTACGGCATTTGTAGCCTTTTATTATACATGTCAGACATCCGACACTGTTATGATTCATGCTATTTTGCTAAGCGGCTCAAGAACACAGAATTGTCTAGCACAGTGCTTGTGCTGTCACTTTAGCATTACTTTAGCCGCATCGGCGCTGTTCCGCCTGTAAGACAACAAGTACGTATGTTGACGGCTACAAGCGAGTAGCCATGGCACATGCGAAAGCTGGCGACTCTGAGCAGGTCGGTGGTGTTGCCGAGTTCAGTGATTCTTGGCGTTGGCATTTTGATTGCGCTACGTGGCACTTCTTGGCGTTCTGAAGTAGACAGTAATTCTTGTTGGCGCAGTCAAGTCAGACTTGCCATCTAGCTGTTGAAGTTTCAGTATGGAGTCGGCATGAAAAGTGCACGGAGCTTTCACGTGTTGTTTTGACATTGCTTTGAGCAACATGTTTCCTTACCAACAGAGCCTTCCGCAAACTCAGGATGGTGATGAGCTGCAAATTCGGCACTTGAGAGAGGACGGGTTGAGCATGAGACGCGCACTGGCACTGAATGAATTCTGTGTGCCTCTCGGCCTCTCGGTAGATGTGTCATTTGCATACGTGCGGTGTGACTGTCTGAAAGGATGAGGACTTGGTTATTGAGCCTTGGCAGATTTTATCGCTTCGTTATAGAACGTGTAAGCCTGTAAGCGGATCATCAATGGAGGCAAGCGTTTCCTTGTGATTTACTTTGTTTTTGGATGTTTTCCGGTTTCATTCTCATAAGGATGGGGAGACTATCGTGGATGACATGTCACTCGAATCAAGATGTGGATGATGTGGAAGTTGCCAAAGCTGCCACGCGTAGTTGTGACCAGCGTGCGATGGCTTGTTGCATCCTTTTACATCTTGTTCTGCTTTATGAATCTTGTTCAGATGGGTGCCGAACGCATCAGGATTGTCAGCCGCTAGCCTGGGTGATCATGCCGAGAATTCATCAGAATTGTAAGTCTCTTCACTCTACTGGCGGGTGAAGGCATGCTTTCATTAATATAAAAATTCTGGATTGCTTGGCCGCCTGGGACCTGTGCTTGACTATCTTTTTGAATGCTATTTGGGATGCACTTCAAACTTCATCACGTTTGATTTGACTACATGAGCGTCGAATTGCACCTGGCCTTCTGTCCTACAGTGCATTCTGCTCGGGCCTGGGTTGCTCATTTAGCTTCATTGACTGGTCAAGATGGCTTAGATTAGATCAGCGGCTTGCTCAGGCTTGTTGCTCAACGTATTGCCGAGCAGGATGCGTTTGCCGAGCGGGTGCTTCATGAATCCGAAGGCCGTGGCAGAAGCAGAACCTGTTTCACAATATTTTGACATATTTTGACAATTTTGAAGGTGTGAAAGGACGTGAGTTGGAGCCAAAGTTTGTTGGGGAGAGACGCTCCTCAGGCCCCACAGCTTTAGGAATCTGGATAGAACATGGTACGCTTGACTGTGATTGATCGACTATGATGTAATTGCCTAAATCTAGGTTGATTTATCTTGATTTCATATTTAGTCCTTTGTTGTTCCCTGCCGCGAGTACGATCGATTTGCATGCAGCTGAAGAAATGGAATTCCAAAGGAGTTTGGCTGTTTGTTGCTTCATCCACTTCATATTCAGGCGCAATGGAACGACGCAAAGCTCCTTCCGCCCAAGATGTGCAGAGCCTGGGTGTAAGGCATCCGACTTCAGGATGGCCAAAGCATTCGGGTGCCAAGGGCTTCCATCATTGTCATATAAGTATTTTCATACATTGTCCCAGCCTTTCTGCATTTGGGGGGCAGATGGCCTCGCTTGTGTATCTTGTGTCCGATGCTTGCCGCGATGTTTTATTCGCGTTTGTTTTCATGATTTTCATGACAATGAGGAAGCTTCTGCGACTGCTCAGGGAGACACGAAAGCTCTGCGGCTGCATCTCTGCAGTTCAATATCAGTTTATAATGATAGTTTATATATGTTTATATGTTAAAGATGGATTTACATGCTTCACATGATGCAGGGACTAGTCAAGCGGATTCATTTCCAAGGCGTTCCATGACATGCAAGGGCGTCCATACGCTCTACACCAGGGGCCCAATAAGGCGGCAATCCTCTACTTAAACGGCAGTAGTGCGACAGGGACCACTCCTTTTTCTCACACCATCGCTATAACACTTTCAACTATGTACTTCCAATTCTTAGTATCTCAGCGGACGTGGTGCACGGTTGTTTCGAGCCAGAGCTAAATACGAGGGCTCAAACGACCCATACTTACTACCGTTAAACGATGTTGAAAGATATTGAACGTGTTGGAACTATGCCTCTCATTGAACTTCTCATCGCTTCTTATTGTGGAAAAACAAGCCAAGGTTGACCTCAAAGATTGGGGACTTGCCCAGTCAGTTCGATGCCTTGGTCAGTGAGGAGTTGCGTGATGCATGCAAAGCTGCCACAGAGGCATGGGCAGGTGAAAATATCATAAATAAAACATAAGTAATACATAAGTAACATAAGAGGAAACCGATGGAAACCATAACTCTTGAGAACAAATCTCAACGGATGTCAGGAAAGATGTCAACTGATGTCAATGGATGCAAATGGGAAATAGTTATCGCTGCAAATGACATGTGGTGACATCTTCGATGTGCTCGGTATAGTGAATATATAATATATGCAGTGTGTTTCTGTTGCTGTTATCAGCCGGCTAAGCGTATCTCAGCATTCAGTTTGGTTGGTTTTATGGAATGCACGTGTGCCCAGGAACCCTGTTGAACGTTTTGCCCTGAAAAACTCATCAATTGAAGACAGCATAAAACAGCCATGAGGGACACGATGATACACGATGGAGGATGGCTGATGGCTGCCCGCAGGCGGTCACCAAACTTCCTTTGCCAGAGTCATCGACAACAGTGGAGGATGCTCCCGTAGGCTTGGCCCATCCCACAAACAAGATTCTCTTTGGTATCGGATTTTGGTCCTTCTTCGTTCAAAAAGTGTAAGTGCGTGGCTAGCTAGGTAGGCTTGGTGGAGCCGGTGCTTGGGAGCGGGTGGCATGGTTGTTAGCAGTATCTAAGTATAAGTATAAGTAGTAGTAGTAGTTGTTGTTGTTGCTGTTGTTGTTGTAGCAGCAGTAGAAGTAGAAGTCGTAGTCGTCGTTGTAGTAGTAGTAGTAGTAGCAGCAGTAGTAGTAGTAGCAGTAATAGTAGCAGCAGCAGTTGTTATATATTTTGTTTGAGATCTTAGTATCTTTGTCGTTTCTGACTAGTCTTCCCGTTTAAGCAGGCCTCCCCAGCCTACCCCAGACCCAACACAGATTGTCTTATCATATGCTCCCAATGTTCCCGATTCGGTGTATTCGTTCTGCCCCATCGCCTCTACCCAGTCCCCACTCCGACCGAGACCCGGCCCCACAACAGCCCACGACACGGCCACAGATGCAGCGACAATGTCAGGGTGTAGTGAGATGTTTCCAGAATTTTTGGGCCGTGACATACCATCAGTTGGATTTTGCCTCCAGAGGCGGGATCACATCACTTGCCATGAGGTGAAGAGAAATGGGGTGAAGGCACTGAGGATCCTGCCCATGCGCTTGCTGCAGTGGACCTGCAAAGTACAGACGAAGAAACTGCCGCAGCTGTCATGGCCTTAAGTTGCGATTATTGCCGCACAATGCTTGATTCAAGAGAAGATTCTCAATCATGTTGCAATTTTCAAACGCACGGTAACCTAAGTCATCACACACCTTATTTTTTAAAGCCAAGATTCAGCAGATCTCGCAGCGTCATTTCTCATCGCTTCAAAAACAGTCGTGGTCTGCCAAGGAACCTTCTGCGGTTGCTGATGCTGAAAGAACCAAGGCCGAGTATTGTCTTCAAGTCATGGTTCATATTAGTTCAGGCAGCTTCACGATACTGTATATTCTGTATATAGTTAGATGTAGTATGATGTAGTTAGCACTAGTGATATTTCATGTGTCTTCTTTTTTCTCAAACTATTGGAATCTGCCAGACGGTAATGCCCAATGACGCATCAGTACTGGCAAGATTCTTGCCGCAGGAGGAAGCAGAGGTTAAGGAAGATGGGAACGAGGACTTGAAACACGTTGAACGCATGAAATCAATTGCTTTTCAACACTTATCCATTAGTGGATCAAGACTTAATAGAATGCATACGGATGCATGACATTGGGTCCCAATGGCTGATATGTTCTGCATGGAATTTTAGTTTGGTCCTTTTAACCCATCCACCTAAGACATTAGCAGGTGAGACGAAATTTGAGTTGACCCAGTGACTGAAGCACTTTATTGAGTTTGGTTGTTGCCACCAGCGTTTGCCCCAGGGCAGAAACTACAAGTCATATACTACCGTAGATGGACGAAATATTCAAACCCTTTCTATCCGGTACAAACCCCTCGCCCCCAAAGTTCAATGTTAATGTAACCTGAAGTGCATTAGCTCCAGTGGACGAAAGAAATCAAACCCCTAACATCACTTTTGGTAACACGCGCACTGAAACATTGAGATTTGGGTGTGCGGGGTTCAACATAGTGCGTGTTGCAGGGTTTGAATATTTTGTCCATCTACTGTAGTATATAGAAGTTTGTCATTTGTGTGTCAAATCTCATGTGCACAGGGGAAAAAACATCAGATCGGGAGGAGATGCAGGAGATGGAAGCTCATGAAGCTCAGCAAGATGCAAAGGATGAAGATGACAAGGAGCTTGATGGAGCAGAGCCTGCTGAGGCTGTTGAGGCTGCTGTTCCCTTGGGCCGCCTATGGCAGACCTATGGCCACCTAACCCAAAAAGTATCGATCATCAAAAAAGGTCACCAGCTACCCCCAGCATTTCGATCATTCCGCATCCACTTTGGCACCAAAAGGACTTGTCAGAGAGGGTTCTTTGATCTGACAGATTTGGATAGATTTGGCTCATTCAATGTGATGATGCCTATTTTGAAAACACATTTGAAGATTTTGAAGTCAGGATGTTGGCGCCAAATAGCAACTGCATGCAACTCCAAATGGTTCAGGCCGATGTAGGAAAGCGGCACGCCATAGAAGATGAAGAGGGCGCACCTGTCATCAATGTGGCCCAGTGGCACAGAGCGAGAAAAGCTTTGGGATGCTTTGGGTATGGCGAAACTCAGGGTGCTCATGGTTTCTCATTGTCCAATGTCCAAGCTTATGCACTGCGGCATTTGAGTAAAAGGGCCTGTCTCAACTGGATTGCTATCAATGCCTGCAAACATCATGAATGACTGTCCTGTTCATTGTTATCAATTTTACATTTCTCGCAGAAATGGTCTTGACATGTCTTGATGTTTGAAGATGTTTGAAGATGTTTAATTTTGAAGGATTCTCATGCCATTGTTCCATGTCGTTCCATATCTTTCCATGTCGTTCCGTTGGTTTGCTCATGTTTTCTCCGCCGAGTGCAGGTCTCGCACCTGCCCGACATTCTGGATGCCAATGCGCCCAAAGAAGCCATCGGCAAAGTGCAGTCCATAGTGCAAGAGCTCCTAGTGATTCAAGGAGAGGAAGATGGCAAGGACCCGGCCTAAGCAGGGCAGGGCATGCAGCACAATGATGGCACATGTTTGTTGTTAGCAAATGTTAGCAACAGTGAGCTGCTGGCACTTAATTTGTGACTGCAAAGCTATCCATGAAGAAAAGCCATTAACACCCCCGACAAATATTGAAACATAATGTATATTTATGTATATCTGAAATCTGAACACATTATATATGGATAAGTTGTGATTTTACCATGCCCTGCTACAGTAGCAGCACGATTTTAGGCATGATTTAAGCACGACATGGTGCACGAAAAGGCAAAAGAGAGCATGATTTGGTGCACGAATAGATGACGAAAAAAACACGATTTGGTGCACGGAGAAATAAACAAAACATGTCATGGGTGCTGCATGAGGAAACTCAAAAAACATGCTTTTCTGGTGAAAAACATGTTGCTATAGATTGTCGTTTTCCCTTGTAAAATAGCAGAAAAACCACGATTTGAAGCACCATTTGGAGCACGATGGATTTAGTTTTCTTTTCTATGCCAATCCAGAGGTTGGCTTTGTAGTCCAAAGTTTCCTGCGTGTTCCCAAACTGCCGTGATTCTTTTGTGAAAAAAACATGATTTCATGGTGCTCCATGTGGGGTGTTTGTTTATGTAGTAGGAAAACCTTTTACTGACTGTTACAGAGCAGGGAAAAGCCTCAATGGATAAGAGATGATAAGAGTATATGTGATATAAATATAAGTAAATACACAAATAAAATCAAATAAATTAATACATAATAGTGTAATGTATATATATATACCCTTGGAGAGAGCGATGGAGAGAGAGAGAGAGAGAGAAAATAAATAAATAGATAAATAAATAAATAAATATATATATATTGTAATATGTTTTTTTAATGTACAATAAGATAGATATCCTAGAAGATGCCCTGTCGACACTGGACGCTCTTTAAGTCTTGAGAGGCTCTGGACCTTGGCTCTGTGCTGTGCCAAGAAGATGGCCGGGTTCTTGGCGCTGTAGTCGACGTGTTTGGGCAGATCTCCCACCCCCACTACTTGGTGCTTCCTTCCGAGTCTTGCAAGAAGGACAGGGCACGACTGGACTCTGGCCCTCGGTGAGTTTGCAGCGTTCAGTGACTGCATTTTGCTGAGATTTGCTGAGTTGGAAGATGTTGGAATGTGCAGGATTTGCCACCAGTGGGTGCAGCTGTGCTGGCTGCAACAGGTATGCAGGAGCCGGGGTTGACATGCGAAAAGTTGAGGTTATGGACATTTGGTAAGGATATGGCTATGGGGCATGTCGTATTCTGTCGTATGTGGGAGCCGAACTAAAGGTGAAGTATTGTAATTCATGCAAATGGTACACTTACCAGTATTGAATAAGTGAATTTTGCTGCATGAGCCAAATGCAGAGACAATATGATTCTGAAATAATATGAACTTATGTTTGATTAGTGGGATGCTCCTGACTTACTTGAACATGTTTATTTTGGAAGAGGTTTCCAACCGTTGCCGTGTCTCATGCGAAACATGGGTGGTCCCAGTGGTCCCATGGCTTGACCACGGATCCGCGAGATAGGAGACCAGCTTCCTTTGTGATAGAGCCGACTTGGCTGCCTTGCAAAACCAAGTTGATAGCGACGAGGAGAGACCCTTGACTGAGATTGAATGATGCTGAAATATTCTGAGACAGTCCTAGACCAGTGACTTGCAAATGTCCACCTTGTCATTGCCTTTGTTGCTTCACGTACCGCTTTTCTATGCTCTTCTGCTATGAAGAGTCATGCAGTGTGTGAGAACAAGCAGCCCTGTGACATGGGTAGCATGTAGTCCTCACATCATGTAGAAATATTCTCAGAGTCCAATCGGGCGGGGCTTAGCCATTCCGCCACCAAAAGGGAAACCCTGGTGCCAGTAACTTCGCGTATTGATGAAAACTGACTAAGTGCCCACCCACACACACCCACACACACACCCACACACACACACATGTAATCATAAATCACACACACACACACATCACAAAAGAAGAAAATATCACTTAATGACAGAACACAACATAATACAATGCAATACAATATAATTAATAGAAGATAAACTATTTGTATATTCTAAATACTTACGCATACTTACGTACACCGCACTATATCTTCAGGCATCTTGAAAACCGTTTTACCCTGGTATGAGTGACCTTGAGCGTGGTTTGCTGCGCTGGACTCGGGTGAGACTGAGGTGACCTCATTGACGGAGATGAGTCGGACAGCGAGGATTCACCTACCTTCAACCCTGAAGGGGCTGCTGCGCTAGAAGCAGAATCGAGAAACTGGGGTTGCTTGACTAGATCAAGGTGAAACATGCTAAACACATTTTTATATGTAAACACACCATTTTGTTGAGATACATTTTATATCATTTTATACAAATCAACTATACAATACAACATAAACCATTTTTCCTGCTGAAGCTATTGCTCTGCAGTCTGCTTTTCTTCGCAATCTTGATCAGCGTGCCAATTAGTTTTCCACGTTTTACATTCGCTGTACTTTTGTTTGATTTTCTGTCCTCTCCATGTCAGAATCCACAGATCTGATCAGATCTGGGCAGACTGTGCCGGCGGGGGCATGTTAGCCTTTAGTAATTTAGAGTGGTGGCCAGGACCCCTCAGGACACCGTACACCTGAATGATCCTGATGACCTCGGACGGCCATAAAACATCATAAAACATCATAAGATGTGTTCGATCATGTTCGATCTTTTTGCGCATGCACCCCAGAACTGCACATACAGCGTGATACACAGTACATACTCCAGATTCCTCTTGCATCCAAGGAGGTGTTTGGGGATCTATGCTATCGAAGGAGCCCAAGAACAACCATGCTGTCGAGACAGGGAACTTGGTTGAAGATCCCGCCTCCCGAAGTTCAACGACCTATCGGGCGGAAAGAGGAGCCTCCAATGCACATCAACCACTTGCACAACCTTGTTGCACTGACCTATCATCACCTTTACTATGCCAATCCTATGCCAATCCTTTAATTCCCCACTTTGCAGTTCTCTTTGCCGGGTTTCCTATGGTTTCTTGAATTTTCTTGACGTTTCTCCTTTTTAAGGATGCTGGGCCTCCAGTCACGCAGCAGATACTACAGCATCAATTTGACATATTTTGACATCCTTGGGTTCAGTGAATGTCAGCATCTATAGTGGTTGAGGAGAGGCACCATCAAACTCCCGCAGCAGATTCAACTGCTATGGCTCCACTGATCGGAGGTGGGGATGTCAGGTAGCTACGCGCAGCAGGAATTTGTCACCTTTGAGGTGAACCAACACAAATTGCATTACAAAAGTCTGAAGTAGTGGCCTTGATCCCGATCTCGTTTTGCTATGTTTGACTAGTGTGTGCGCATTGTGGTTGCAGATTCAGTGACTTTCAGGTTGTGGAGATGGTTTGGGCATGTTTGGGGTGTCCACAGAAGGAATTGACAGGTTTGCAGATATTTAGCACATTGTGATCATTCTAGATGCAAACAGTAATGGAGCGCTTCTGCGCTTACTCTGTCTAGTCTTGAGTGCCAGACCGAAATCTCAATCAGAATTGCTATACTTTGGATCACTTTGGTGCACGGTGAATTGCAAGGGGTGCAAGGGAAGCATGTTTATCCTACAATATCCCATCTATATATATATATGTTGTTTCGGTAGCTGTCACTCGAAACCTGAAACCACCTCACGAAGTGTGGCCTCAGAAGCAAAGCGCTGCCTTTTCCAGGGCAGCAGGCTGCGTAGCGCAGGCTCCAAAGCCCATGGGGTCCCAAGACACAGCGTGTCCCCTGAAAGTGGGCGTTGGGCCCAAAACCAAGAAACGGGCAGGCAAAAAGGTTAAATGCCTGACATCCATGTTGAAGCTACATTGCGTAGCACGCAATTCACACCGGTGAAAGTGTGTGGAGAATTAAAAGTAAAAGGGAAACTTGGTGCAAAATCGCCGCTCAGTCATCCCAGGTGCCAGGCGTCAGAATGCCGCCCAAAGTGTGCGAGCACAGGGTGCAGTAGTTCTTTTCTTGAATCTCCTGCGTCGCAAATCGTCTCAGGCACTGAGGATCTGCATGCCAGCAGCGACCACTCTTTGTGTAGAACACAGGTGCTTGGGTCAGGTTGTGCAGGTTCGCCTGATGGCTACGCTCCTGTGCACGAAGTCTTTCGTTCAAGGTCTCGTAGTAGATATCCAGCTCCCTGTGATGGGTTTCCTGCATGGCGTTGTGCACATACAAGGGCACCATCTCCTCTTCGATCACAGAGACCAGTCGTTGCGTCTCTTCGTAGTGTTCCTGGATAGGTACTATCTCGTGCATTCCCACGTCAGTTTGCGTTGCGACTGACATTGTCACTGGTGTACTCACCTCTTCGAGGTTTTCTCCTTCAGTGGCTGTATCAGCCCTTCCAAAGCTTCTCCATCTTTTCCATCCGCCCAACACCAAGATGCCGATGGCAATCGCCAGGATCGCGGTGTAGAGCGGCTTCAGCATGCCCAGGTAGAGGTCGTTGTAGGTGAAGGTTGTGTTGTTGGTGGTGTCCAAGTAGGTCGCTGAACTGCCGGTCCAGCACATTGCAAACATCGCTTGTAGAGCTCGCTGAGGCTTCTTCATTGCATACATCTTTGTGTTTCTTTGTCTTTCTTGAGGCGTCTTCTTCTTCGCAGCTTGGAACGTAGTGTCGCTCTTGAGCTTCACCATGTGGGTTCGAAGTCGTTCGGCCAATAGTTGAGCGGCCGTCTGTTTGGTGAGTCCATCAGCATATTGCTGTTCTGATGATACCCAGCGTGTCTTCGCTGAGCAACAGGCTAATTTGTCCTGTGTCACCAAAACTTCTATGGTGGTACGTTTGTCTGTACCACTGCTTGCCTGAACTTCAGGCTTCACCAGCAAATCGTAGAGGGCCTTCGCATCCACGATGAGCGCCGGTTCCACTGGCATCTTCGGCGTCTGTAGGTCGTTGAGGACCAACCAGGGCTTCCAGATCAGGTTCCAGAAGGTGCAGGTGAACAGCAGGCTGTCCGCAGCTTCAGATGCTGCTTGAGACTCTGCCGCCAAAGTGGATCTTGAGATCCTCGCCAGTTTCCAACTGCGCCAGTCCACCAGGTTGTAGTGGCCTTCAGCTCCTTCAGCAGTAGCTCGGTCCACCATGGCTACTATGTAGCCACCTTGACTGGAGTTGTCGGCACGGCAGGCGAAGCTTGCGTCCGAAAACGCTATGAAGGTCATGTCCTCCTTTCTCCCAAGGCTTCGAAATTCCAAGCCTACATCGCCGTTCTGCTTGGCGTACCGTAGGACTTTGTTTGCTTCCAAGAGAGTGGTTGTAGTAGCGGTGGTCACTGATCCAGCCATCATACTCACAGGGGCCTGAAGCCATGGAGCAGTCTGGGTGGCTGGCCATTGTAGTCCACCAAGGAGGCCTCGAAGCGCAGTTCTTTCGCCTTCGGTCACAGGCAAGACTTTCTGTTGCCTTTCTTTTGGAAAGCTGATTGGTTTCTGCTTTCCCAGGTAGTCAGTGTGGTGGATCTTCCAGTGGTTGTCTTCGATCTTGATGATCTTTGCCCCGCAGTAGGTGAGCTCCTCCTTCTCAGCACCACTGTGCCATTCTCGAAAACTGAAAGTAGATCTCAGCTTGTCCATGAGGGCTTTAGTTGCAGGGTCACGTTCATCACAGCATCCCAAAAGGTCGTCCACATGAAGTCCAAAGATCGCCAAAAGGCGGGGTGCTTCGGCAGCATCATCACCATCTTGTGGAAGTTGGATCGGCCGGTCGTAGGCCAGGAAGAGGCAGCTGTCCAAAGGGTGCTGCACGATGGCTCCATCGCCCATCCTCAAAATCCTTTCTACAGCTTCATCAAACCAAGCTTTCGGGGCATCCACTAGGCCGTACATGGGCTTGATGAGCTTCATCACTCGGCCGTGTCCAGCTGGTAGACCAAGTAGATCATCAGCTTCACGGGGAAGCTTCACCCAAATTTCTCGCTCGGAGTCAGGGTCATAGCTCTTGCCCTGAAGGAAGGCGGTCGAGATGTCGGCCGTGAAGGGGTAGTAGCCCAGCATTGATGCAATGCTCAGCACAAAGTTCCTGGAGAGACGGGTCAACGTAGGGCTCGCTGTAGTCAAAGTCCCGCTCAAGGCATCAGGGTCCTTGAATCCTTGACATATGAGCCTTGCTTTGGCTCGAGGGCTCCCATCAGCGTTGGTCTTCCAGTTGAGGATGAACTTTGCCCGCAGGATGCGGTCAGGTCTGGCATTGGCCTCCTCGTCGAAGACCCAGACGTCGTTCTGGAAGAACGAAGCTAACTCCTTCTGCTTGGCCTCTTTGAAGGCAAGTCGGTCTGACAAAGACATCGTCCTTTCGCTCAAAGGAGCGTTGGTCTTGTCCTCCTGCAGGTAAATGGTTTCAGCGCCAAAGCTCTTGTCCTGAAAGATGTTCTTGGCATCCTTTCGGTGTGGTGTTTGGATCTTGAACCGTGTGTAGCCAGTCCAGGTGAGTCCTGTCAGCTGTCTGCAGGGCGTACCACGGGTCCATTTGTCTCGGACCACTTGTCCATTGGCCAACTTGGTGATGCGTTGGCGTGCCAAACATCTCAAAGGCACAGGACAGTTGTCCTCTGTTGGAGTGAACTCCTTCTCCCGGGCCACATAGTGCATCCTCGTGAGATAGTTTCCCTCAATGCGCCACTCGTCCTCAATCTCCCCCAGGACCATGTAGCCGTTCTCATAGTTCCATCCCGGCGGCAAGTGGCTGTTGGGCAAGAGGTCAACCTCACAGGTGAACTCGATCTTGTCATCGTCGTTGAGGGGCTTCTGGGAGTATGGAGTCTCTCTGGCAGGTTGTGCAGTTGCAGGGCCATAGGATTCAGGCCTTCTGATCAGAAGGGTCTCCTGCCTTGCAACTCGGGCTCGTTGTTGAGCAAAGGACTCTTTGCTCTCAGGTGCAAAGAAAGGTTTCTGGCCCTCAGGGATCGGCAGGTGAGAGGTCGTCAGTGAAGGTGGTACCTGCGGCTCTTCCAAGGGCTCAGGCTCCATGACACTTTGTGTAGTTGGTGATTGTTCAGGTAGTTCTGCATCAGCTGGTGTTGTTGTTGCGGGGTGCAGGTGTGGTGCACTTGAAGGTTGTGCGCTGGAGGAGGAGGTTGTTGTAAGTGGTGGTGGTGGTCCCATAGGAGCTTCCTCAGGTAGTCCATCATCATCCATAGGCCCCTCCGGCTCCTCATCATTGTCATCTTGCTCGGAGTCCATTGGGGTCCCAGGTTCGTAGGGTTCGGAAATTCGGTCTGCGTCCACAACAAATGTTGTGGTACCAGTCCACACGTAGTGAAGCTCTCGGTTTCCTTGAGGCACCTTCCACTCGTCTCTGATTCTCAGATGTTCTGGGTGAGGTGGTTCTCGACGAATGTCGGTGGTGCGCTCGGGCTTGAAAAGGTGCACGGGGACATTCTCAGAGAGTGTCGGGACATAGAGCTTCCGTCGAGGAGTGTTGTGGATCCGTGTCCACAGCCTCCCATCATCAGAGGCTTGCCAGTGGTCAGGTGGTAGTTCTTGGACAGGAAAACGGCCCATATCGCGGTCGTCCTCACCTTCTTCCTCATCTGAAGCAATTTCGTCCCGCGTCCTCTTGTTGGTCTTGCCCAAGTCGATGTAGTTTGTCACTCCTCTGTTGCGAATGCCCTGTAGAGCTTCCTTGGCCGCATCGAGAGGGTCTTTCTGCTTCTCCGTGACATCCTGGGCCGCATGAGCTGGTTTGACATGCTCAGGTGCTGCTCTCAAGAGCACAGTGCCATGGCCCAACCAATAGATGTCACTGTTGGGACCGGCAGGTCCAGGTTCCCTCATGATGACAGTGGCGGGGCCACGCCATCGAAGCTTTGCCACTGACCCTGCTGGAGCATCATGCCAGTAGTAGCAGAGGTCGCCAGCGCTCAAAAGCGTCTGCTGGCCCATGAACTTCCGCAGTAGGGCTCGTCGAAGACGTTGGTCTCCATCGGCCTCAGCAGTTGCTTTGGCAGCTTCTTGTTGTAGTCGTAGTTTTTCCATGAACTGCGCCGATGGATCCAGGTGTGATGGATTTGAGCCTGTCTGCTCTTCCATCAAGAGGCCCGGCACGTGTGGCGTGTAGCCCAAAGTCCATTGGATCGGACTAAAGCCACAGACATTGGGGCTGCGGTTGATCTGAGGGATCACGTAGTTCAGGGCAGTGACAAGTCCGTCAGGATCTCCGGCCAAGCTGGGATTTCCTTGAAGGAAAAGTGTTACAGCACGTCTTGTGACCTGGTGCCTCCGCCCCAAGACAGCCAAGCGGGTGTGAGCTTGGCCAGGTGAGATCTGCAGCAAGATCCCTTGCTCGCAGCACCATTCTCGCATCCTGTCACTGCTCCATGCCCTGTGCTCATCGACCTGTAGCACCTGCATCGGGCCGAAATGTCGGACCCAGGCTCTTTCAAGGTGCTTGATGAACTCCTCCGTGCTTTCGCCACCACGTAGATGTCGTCCAGCAAGAAGTCGGGTGGTGCTGTCGGAGATCATCAGCACGGGCTGCTGGTGCTTCTGGCCAGGAACATGAATCCAAAGAGTATCAGCTTGGACTCGTTGGTTGAACGTTGAGTTGCTTGGCATACTTGATACCGGAACGCCAGTTGGTCGATGATGTAGTTCACAAAGCTGGCATTCATGCTCTCGGGCTGCAGTGAGCAATGCGCTTGAAGCGTTCTTGTTCTGTAGGAGGCGTATCAGCTCCCTCTTTGTGGGATGGCCCAGATTCCTGTGGAGGCGGGTGATCGTCCTCCGGGCTTTTGCCAGATCCTCATCATGTAGTCGCGAAAGTACTCCTGCAGGAACAGCTGGTGGTGGTTCATCAGGTGATTCTGGGTCTGGAGACTCACTCATCTCCTCCATCTTCTCCAGCTTGAACTCCTCCTTGACAGCGGCCTCATCGTCAGCCACATAGCTGGCATCTTGACCCTTGTAGGCGAAGATCTGCTCAATGGCCTTGTAGAAGCTGTAGCATAGGCCAGCTTGGTAAATTCCAGATGCCGCAGACCTTGATCCAATGCCTGGAGAACTGCCCTCAATGGGGAGGTGCCAGTGTCCACCTTTGCAAGTGCGAGCCAGATCCAAAGCCATTGTCTCGTCTGTGCATCGCAGCTTCGTGGGCTTCTTGACATACTGCTCCTCATAGTTCTCATCGGGCAGGGTCACTCCGTACTCGCATTGGTCAAAGATGGAGTCAAAGCCATCCATCGCCACAAAGGTAGGGGTCACCCAAGATCTTGCGTTCTTGGGCTGCTCAACTGCCGCATGTCGGCCTTCTCGTTGTTGCTTTTGATAGCCACGTTTGACCAGCTTGAGGAAGGTCACCTCCTGGTAGTCGCGGTCAGCTTGAAGGGCTTCTTGCTTTTCAGGCGTGTCCACACTCAGTTGTTGTAGGGGGGACCAAACCTTGCAAGGTGGAGCAAACCACACAAAGTCAGGGCAGGTCACATCCAACCAATGAAGGAATTCACGCCGGTGCTCGGCAAGCTCGAAGTTCCAGCCCGTGTCGAGGTCAAAGCATTCGACCAGCCAACCTTCAGAAGCCATCTGGTGAGAGAGGTTGGCACTGCCGCTGAAGACTTCCCAGAAGATTTTCCGTCCTTGCTGATGCGCCAGAAGGGCGTTTTCGACTGCATGTCGTCGGTTCTTGCTGAACTGGTTGAAGCTCATGTGCATCGTCTTGATCAGCTTGTCCGTGATGTTGCGGCGTATCGCCGTTGGATCATCATCGGAGAGGTCATTCTCAGGGATCTCCTCGGAGGCAGTCTCATAGCTCTCCTCATCCGCACGTAGAGCATGTTCAGGTGGTAGCCGGTTGGTGGTCGCCAGGTACTCATGGATGTCGATGTAGTTGGTGAGGTCCTCATAGTTGTCGATGGCCGGCAGGGAGTCGTCGGTGATGTAGTCGAAGTCGATGAAGTTGCCCTCAGGGTCGTGCTCAACTCCATCGTCAAGCTGCAAGAGGTATTCACCTCGTTCACCCAGAGGCACATCAAACCAGGGGCCATCTTTGATGGACATCTTGCCATCCTTGTAGTTCATCTGGACGTTCAACGCCTGTAAGATAGGCCGTCCAACCAGCAATGGCGTGGAGCCATCCACCACGAAGCACTCCATGTAGCCGCTCTTGCCGTTGATGTAGACCGGTAGCCTGACAGACCAGTCTGCCTGTCGTGACGTGTCACCTCCGAAGCTGAAGGTCTTGTTGGTGGCCATGAAGAGGAATCGGTCAGGTCGGACTCCACGGTACTTCATGTAGTCCACCACATGCATCAGCGTCACATGGCCCACCACAACGGAAGAAGCTCCTCCATCTTGGATTCCATACCATCCATGCTGACCAATGGCGGGGAGTCCGCGGCTGGAGACCTTGGCCATGTCCCGCACCATCATGGCGGATCCATCAGTTCGAGATTTCTTCGAGGGCGATGTCGATGTCGCCGATGAAGGGCTCTGTCGGGACGTAGGGCTCGACCGTGCAGTGTTCTGCGGACAGCTCGCAGCCCAATGTCCAGGCTGCCCACACTTCAAACATTTTGAAGCAGCCTGCCCTCTTGACACGATTGTGCCTGTCTTGGACTGCCATTTGCCTCGGCCTTTCTTACTCTTTCCTTTTCCTTTTGACTTTGGTGGCCGTGGGGACTGTGAGGTCGGTGAGGCGGCGGCTGCACCATCTGCCAGTGCAACCACAGGATAGAAACCCCGAGAGGCTTTCAAGTGTGCCATCTGTCGTCTGGCATCCAAGTAGGTGGCGTAGGCATCCTCATACTGTTGCTCAGCCTCCATGAAGAACTCGTCATGGGGTTCCTCGTCAGGGCTCCCGGTGTAGTAGGCTTCATCGCCATCAGCCTCACCATAGTCCTCTTCTCCATAGTCATCCCAGTCGTCACCCTCATAGTCATAGGGCTCGTCGGGAACCTCGTCGTCCTCAGCCTCATAGATCTCTTCAGTCACGTAGCCCTGTTGTCTTCCCCATCGTGAGGCGGATCCATAACCCTTACCTCGCCAGTTTCTTCCATCATTGGTCTTCCCCTTGTAGTCCTGGCCGAAGAGGAAGTAGAGGGCCTCGGTGACTCCATTCAAGTCCATGTCCTTGGCTCGGCCTTGCACAAGTTGCTTCTGCTCCATCGTCAGTCCAGCTCTTCTCAAGAGTAGCCAGCCAGAGACCTTGTCAGGGATCTTCACGCCATGTTTCTCCACCTCCATGAGGTACTCCCTGTGGTCGGCCACATAGTTGATCAGCGTCTG